TATCTCTGTGTTGGATTGAAGATTTTTTTCAGATGGATCTGATAAGGCATGTTTTGAGCTATGAGAAGAAATGTTTGAGTCATTGACACTACAATTGGTTTGATAACTTGTTTTCAAATACCTTTTTCCTTTTTCAAGGGCAGCTTCGAGAGATTTAGAACTAAATCTTTGTGCCAATTTTTGTAATGTTTGAAAACCATTCATGCCTGAAGCAGTAACATCATCTAATCCAGCTAAGCTTTTTCGACTTGAAGGTTTTATTGCATGCAATACTTTCCACAAACTTGAATCAGATAATGGTATATAATTGTTTTCACTACAACTTTTTCGATAGAACATGATAGCGTGGCTATATTTTGTCGTAAGTATTGCATGCACTATCTTTTGTTCTTCACCGCTGTCGTATTTTAATTTGGTTATTCCATAAGCAACATCATGCAAAATACCGCTTGTAAATATAAAGTTTAAGAAATGTTCACACTTTGTTTGATCAAGACTAGATCGGACGAATACTTTCTTCTCTGGAAATGCCAACCCTTTATGAGATGCATGCCATTTTCTTGCTGTTTCTATACGATGTTTGGTACACTCATATGTGTTCATTATAAACTTTTTGGTATACTTGGTATGGTCTAATAATCAGAGGATAACTAACTTTCCCATGGAATCACTTTGCTTATATACTTTCTGAGCACGAATAATTTCAATTGGGAGAGGGCTATTTATTTCATCAACATTTTTACTACAGAAAATCTATAAGTATTTCCTCTTGTCCAGGAGCAACAGCTTCTGCAAATTTTTTCTTTAATAAGTTTTCTAGCCGAACATACTTGCGTTTTAACTTATCTTTAGTAGTATCTTCCAGATATTCGAACTTCCTTTTTAATCTAAATTTTATTGGACTTGCATTAAGAACCTCAGTTACACTCTCACGGCTTCTTAGAAATTCGTCCAAAATCTCCTGTGAAACATTAATTTCACCGGGATCAAATTCTTCATCTGGAGTAGCAGGTGTCATACATGTTTGTTCTTGTTGTGTTTGTGTTTCTGTACATAAATTGGTGTTTTCGTTGACTCTAGATAAAGCAGTTTCTTGCTTTAAATGGGTAAAACACAGCATTGCACTAACTGAAAATACTTCATTGTATCGCTTTGACACATTGATATGACGACATGTATTGGTGACGCCCTTAAAGCGGGAGATTTTTTTCCTTTTATATTTAGATGGTGAGGATGAAAGCATGTTTTTGGAGGACTCCATGCAATATCAAACGTGTACCGGTGAAAAGCACATATTTGTTCATCCTTTTCAAGATTTCTTTTAAGTCTATTTGCAATAAGTCCATTTTCTTCCCAAATATTATTATCGTTTAATCACATGACCTAAAAACAATTTTTTAAACAATTATTAAGTGTGTCATTTAAAGTATTGTTTATAATCTGACTCTTCACGAAAATTGTTTACAAGTTTGAAATACATTGTTGTTATTATTAAAATACAATATTGCAAGAGTGTGATTAATTTAGTGATTATTTATTAAAAGAGTGAGGAATTAATTAAAAGAGCTATTTTTTTTTGTTTAAAGAACTTTGTCTCAAAATCTTATTGCAGAGAAGTTATAAAGTATGTAATTATAAAAATTATATTACAGTCTGCGTAAATTTAAAATACATAATTACCTTTAAGTTGATGAGGTGTTTCTTAACATCAACATCTCCCAGCTGATGAATGTAGAACATTTTGTTTATAATTTTATGTTTTTTGAATGATCCACAATTTCCTTTTGAAAAGCAACAATAGTTTTCATAAAAATATTTGTTTTGTTCCATACTCAACTAAAAACAAGTTCTATCTATGCAGTACCTATTTCTCAATAGCAATGATAAAATATCTACTCTATTTATGCAAATTTTAAAGATCGTTAAAGTAAAGTTAAGACATTTTTATGGTAAAGTAAACAACTGCCCACTAACTTGTTTCTCCACAATCGTGATATCAGCGATTCTTCTTCCATTCGATCACCACAAGTTATTTGGTTATGACGTAAATTTAAATAATTCACTTCTGATCATGTATTGTTTTTTATTATTATTTATTTCAATTGTTATGATTTCTATATCATAGTCAGAAACGCTTAAATTTTTTCTTAACATTACGTGCAATGTTTTGTGTAATGCTAATTGCTAATTTTGGATGATAGAAATTTTATTGTGAGCGAAAACCTCATCTGTGTGTCCAAAAAAATATCTCTTCGTACTTAATCATTTTTAACAATTTGTACCTTTATTTTTAACTTAATATCTAAAGATCACATGAGTTTTTTTTTAAACTATGTTAGGGTCATCTTATATTGACCATTTAACATGATTATATTTTTACAAAACTTAGCGCCTCTGCCGTAATAGCTCATTTTGTAAGTATACTATAACATTTTTTTCCAATTTCAAGCCTTAATATATTAATAGGCCTTAGGTATCACATAACTTTCTTTGCATTTTTAGACTCAATACCTTTGATAATTTCAAATCCTAAAAAAAAAATTGTGTGCAACACTTTGCCGCTAGAATTAACTTTGATTAAAAATTGACAAAACTGATTGATTTTGTACTTTTGAACTATGATAATTAGCCAACCGCACAGTGTCACGCAACTTTTTTATATTTTTTGGAGAGAGCTTTTGGGTTACGTCTGATATTAACTACAAAAGCTATGTGCAACTTTTTGCCTTGCCAAAAAAATGGGTTCAAAGGTGGCAAAAACTAAATTTCTAAAAATTATTTAAAAAATCTCAAAAATTTAAGCCCAGATTCCGAATGAACGAAACATTTTTGAATTTTTTTTTTTCCCCAACAGGTTTTCTCTAATTCTGATCAATATATAAAAAATTCAAGCAATTTGGAGGAGGTCACTTCCATTGACTGCCTGATTCTTACAAAAAATCACTCTTAAAGCAAAGTAGTGTTTTTTTGTTAATTGAAAAAAATCTTTTTAAATTAACTGAAAAATATATTTTTAATTGTATTAACCAGTGGCGTAGCAAATGTGATTATGTCCAAAGTAAAAAAATAGTTCACTAGTTACAATAAAAATTTAAAATATTACTACTTATATTTAAAAAGATACTACTACTTACATTTTGGTGCCCAAAAAGACTTTTTTTTTTTGAGCCCGGGCTGACTCCTTCCTAAGTTACTGGTATTACCTGAATTTATATCATAATTTTACAATAAAAAAACATTTAAAAAATAGTTTTCATTGTTTGTGACGTTAAGTTTGTTATACAATATTAGTATTTATATAGTGGTCGAACTTATGAGATGGTATTGAAAGTTCGATCAAAGTAGATGATTTCGTTTCAAATTAAATACTTGTACTAGTTTTTATTTTTCATTTTTTTATTTTTACAATATCAATTATCAATAAAATTTTCTATGTTTCAGGAAAAAAAAATTAAAATTTTTTTTATTTATGCATGATAATTAAATGTTCAAAGTTCAAGTGACCGAACTTAGGCGATTTTACGGTGTTTAATATAAAAAAAAAATGAAATAAATAAATGTTTTGTAAGGGTATTAATAAAAAGCAAGTTAATATTTAACTCATTTTGCGGTAATCTTAGCATTACTGCAGTAATTTAAAAAAGGTAAAGAAAGTTTTAAAAAGACAGAATTTGTTCTTGCTTAACTATGTTTACAGAAAAAAAAAACAAAGAGCAAAGAATAAAGGTTAAGCATAGAATGTAACAATATTAAAAATGTTAAGTGTTTATAATTTAAAGTCTAATATGGCATTGGTTTTATTTTTATTTCTTCCCCCTCCTACTCCCTTCACTGCTCAAAAAAAGGTACATTAATAGGGAAGGGCTAATCCGCCTTCCTCTAGATTCATCTCCAAGTTTAACATCTAAAATAATATAATATACTATAACTAACTGACCTGTACGATACGGGTCGTGGTAATCTACACCTGATTATTTCTAAACTTGTTCCTAATTTAGTCTTTTTACTTTAGTTTATTTTAGTAAGCGGCGAAAATATATCAATTTAAACTTCTGGTAGTTGGTAAAATGAGAACTTTTTTGCAAACCATAAATCTATTGCTTTTTAAATTATAATTTAAAAGAAAACAGTCTAGTTTAAATGAAATATATTGAATACTATAATATTTTATTTAAAAAATTAATGAGCAAGTATTTTATTAATATCATGACTGGTGTGCTCATTAAAATATCTTGGTATACTAAAAAGTACTTCAGAACTATTTAGCATAATTACTTATTACATTATTACTTACTTTAATATTTTTTACATAATAAAAGTATCTTAGGCATATAAGACAGTTGCGTAACATTCTTCAGGTGTTTTTGGAAACTTAGGCTATGATGATGATATTTTAACTCTCTTATAAGGATTTATTTAAAAAATAAATTTGGATGTTGAAAAATGGACCCAAGAGACCTTGTTATTTCAAATAAATTAGATTTTTTTGTTTGATATTTTTTATAAAAGCCTTTTCTGTAAAAAAAACTCAACAAAATCATACAGTCATGATTTTGTTAAGAGTTTTTGACCTCCTCATTTTGGGGAGGGTGAAAACTTTAAATAGTCATAATTGTTGAATGCTAAAGTATTATTAGATGAAATTTAAAATCTCTCAATGAATATAAATTTAGTTTAGAATAGCAATAATATAAATCTTGGTAATTTATTGTCCTCATATTTGAGGCTGGAGGGCACAACATTTAAGGTTTTTTTAGTTCTATATCTTTATATATATATATATATATATATATTTATATATATATATATATATATATATATATATATATATATATATATATATATATATATATATATACATATATATATATATATATATATATATATATATATATATATATATATATATATATATGTATATATATATATATATATATATATATATATATATATATATATATATATATATATATATATATATTTTATTTTCTTTATCTTAGTGCCAAGTTTAAAAAATGAAATAGCTATACCAAAAAGAAATCAGTCATCAGTTCAATCACCAGATTCATGTTTAGTAAAGAATCATCAATATTTTCCACTTTGCAACGAAAAGATTCAGGTTATTTTTATTATTATTGTTTTATAATCTTCTTTCACACTTGCATGGCTTGGAAATATTTTTTAATGGAAAAATTGAATATTATGCATATAATAAAATTCATTCTTTACTTAAAGTTTCAATAGAAACCATTTTTAAAAATGTTATGAAATGTCATTTTTTAAAAATGTTATTAATATTTAGTTAGTAAGTAAAAATACTATTTATAATTTAATATGTTTTAGTAATAATATAGCTATACTACATAATATTGTTAGTAGTAATCAGTGTCATGCATAGTTGGTTGGAAACTTCTCTTACCCTCCATAAAACCGATCATTAAGCATTCAAAATTCTAATAAACCTTTTATTAGGTATTACAAAATAAAAGTAAAAGTTGCTACTTTGATTTGCAAAAGGGCCTCTGAATTCACTTCATTTGCTTCCTGTCCTCTTTATTTGGATGGAGTATGAGGAAATCTTGTCATGGCTCTAGTAATTATATTAATTAATTAATTATGATTAGTGTTAAAATTCTGAGTAAAGCATGGATTATATGCTAAATATTTGATTTTATTTATTTAAAAAGTTTGTGTATTGTTTTAAATTGTTACTTATTTTACTGTAAGTTATTTTATATATAGTTTGAAGTTAATACATAAATATATAAATATAAATATATATATATATATATATATATATATATATATATATATTTTAGTCGTTTAGAGAACATTTTAAAAAGCAAAAAAAAAAATGCACAAAAGATTAATTGGACCAATGAGAAACAATTACAAAAAAAAAATTAGGAAAATAAAATATCTTATTACGCAAAAAAACTCAAAGCATAATAAATTACGTTTAGAACAAATATTTTTGAAACATCATCTTACAATTGTTTAAAAAGGAAACAAATGTTCTTTATTTAACAGAGTGTAATATAATTTTTATTATGTAATATAATTTTATATAGTTGTGTCTTATTTCCAGTGGTAGATTAAGTAGGGTTAGGGTTAGAGTGGGCTATAGATGCGGGACCCACAATGTTAGGGCCCCATTAAAGTCAAGAAGATATTTTTGTTTAGTTATATTTACACATACACATTTTATTTAGTTATATTGGCACATACAAAGGCATTCAAAATAAAAATAGCCCCTGGCTCCAAATAGTCTAATAAAATTATAATAAAACTAACGCAAGTTTTAGTTTTATCTAAGATGCTTTATTTTATAAATAAAAAAGTTAATTTTTTTAATACCTATTTTATGCTTCGCATAGTTTAAAAAGTTTAACATAATTGAAACAATTCTTTTTAATAAGATAAACAAATAAAATAATGAAATCATTGAATTACTATAGAAATTAAATTCACTAGATAGAAATCAACTAAAAAGGTTAAAAATACTTTATGACAAGGAAGTGAAACTGCTTTACAATATCTTTGATGATGTTTAGGTTTTTTAATTTTAATTTGTATTTACAGCAGAAAAAAATATAGCGAGTTTTTATAAATGGCAACTAAAGTGAAAATAATTAGATTTAGTAAATCAATATCTATAAACATTTCTTTATATCTAATAACTTGCTATATATATTTGTGTTCTGTTGTGACCTCAGGCACGGTGCTTGTTCATCCGCGAGTTACTTTTTATGCATTGTTTGTGTTTATTAACCTAAAACTTCTTATATGTTTGTTACAAAATTAGTTTTATTAACTTTGATGATTATTAATAACTTCATTATTAAACGCAATTATTTTTGTAAGTCTTTATTTACAAATTAAATCAAAAAAATTGCTTTAAAAGATTACATTACGATAAAAAACAGATGCACAAAACTACATTTACATAAAAAATACATACTTTTTAAATAAAAATTAAGAATATAATAAAATCTATAATTTATAATAAACTTTTAAAATTTTGACAATTTAATGAATATATATTATCAAACATTTATTTTTGTAAACAAATAATAATAGTTTAAGAGATTAACGGCTTTGCAGATGAACGGCTTTGCTCTAAGAGTGAGCTAATAGAATTAGTTTGTTCGTAAATTTGGCAGGTTTTTAGTGTTCACAAATATTCTTTTTATTCTTCCATGCCAAGATATATATTTTTTTTAAACATCTTTGCTTCCAACAAGGCTGCAAGCAACCACTGATTAGTATTGGAAGTTACTGGAAGAGAAAAGATGAAGATTGTAGAGCAAGATAACGATTGACAGACGACTTAAAAGATTGCAAATTATATGAATCAGGAAAGCAAGACAAAAGAAGCGAATTCCAAAGAACTGATGTTCGAGGAAAAAAACTAGACAAGTAAGAGTTTTTGGAGCACTTAGGAACAATAATAGAAAAAGGATGAAACTTGATTGAATGACGAGTAACACAAGAATGAATTTTAGTAGATGGCACAAGAGACGCTAGCTCTTTAGAGCAGTGCCCATAATAGTATTTGTAGAAAAGAGAAAGAGAAGCAACATTATGACGATGTGACAGAGGTTGAAGGTTGGCTGCAAGAGCAGGTCCAACTATGTTTACAATGCGTTTTTGCACCTTGTCTAAAAGAGAAAGGGCAAATTAGAAGATCCGCCCCAGATATGGCAACAGTATTCTATACAAGGCCAAATTTGAGATTTGTAGAGATAGAGAATAGAATCCAGAGTAAGAAAGTGTCGAGTTCGATAAAAAGAAGCAACTTTAGCAGATGCTAATTTTGCAATGGATTTAATATAAGGTTTCCAAGAAAGATCAGAAGTAAGAGTTAATCCTAGAAGATGAAGTGTAGGAGACTCATAGAGTACATTACTGTTCATAAATATAGGAAGGTCTAAATTATTGCGATAACGATTGGCTGAAAAAAATTGAGTTTTATCTGAATTAAAATTCACCAGCCACTGTGAGCCCCATGCTGTAGAAGTAGTGAGATCCTTTTCAAGCTCAGATGCCCCCTGGAAGCAATCAGAGGGAGTTGGCTTGTTATCGTGACAAGAATAAATGGTAGTATCATCAGCGAACAATGCCACCTTAGATGTGAGAATATCTGGAAGATCATTAATGTAAATTAAAAAGAGTATAGGGCCAAGGATTGAACCTTGAGGAAAGCCTGAGGTTACAGAATAAGAAGAAGAGTGCTGTCCATCGAGGACAACTTTTATACTACGACTGGAAAGGAAGGATTCAATAATCTTAAAGATGTTTCCAGATACACCATAAGAAGAAAGCTTATGGAGAAGACCAGCATGCCAAACTTTATCAAACAATTTAGAAATGTCAAGAAGAATGGCCTTAACCTTTCCACCTTTATATAATGCGCGATAAAACCTATTGGTTATTACTGATAGCAAATCAGCTGTAGAACGAGAAGATCAAAATCCTTATTGATGATCAGAAAGTAGGTTATGAGATTTGAGATTCGAGATTAAGTGTTTGTTAATTAAAGATTCAAAAACCTTGCTTATGATAGGAAGAAGACTAATGGGACGGTAGTTAGACGAATCGGATTGCTCTCCAGAATTTTTAAAAATAGGGATAACAGATGCTGCTTTCCAGCAAGATTCTGATATGCACTTGTTAAATAGTTTTGAAAGGATAGGCGACAGCTCCGGAGAACATTTCTTCAAGACTATAACGGGTATGTTGTCCGGGCCGTAAGCTGTAGAAGAGTCTAAGCAGGAAATCACTTTAGATACAGAAGCTGGAGTGATGTCGAGCAATGGATCAACCTGTTTGATGGCTATATCAGGTAGAACGCAACTAGTGGAATCAAGAGATGATATTGATGAAAAGTTCTTGGCAAACAATTCAGCTTTGTCTTTAGGTGAGGTGACAAAGTCTGAACCATACAAAAAAGGTGGAATTACAGACTTGCCCTTATAATTGATACTATTATAGATTCTCCAGAAGTCACGAGAGCCTAATTTTTGTGATGAAATACGAGATTTCATGGTATGAGAATTGGCATTAGACAAAACCTTTTTACAATGGTTCCTAGCAGTAATAAACAGACGTCTGTTTTCTGGAGAATTGTTTTGCTGATAGATATGGAAGTAATGGTTTCGATTGGCAATTGCAGCAGCACAATGTGAGGAAAACCATAGAGAAGAGTGAGGCTTGACCTGGAATGGTTGAGAATAAAGGGTTCCGTGCCAGCCTGAATCCACGAAGTTATGTAAGAAGCACATTTGTCAACAGGAAGACGAAAGATTTCTACCCAAGGGCCATCACGAAGAAAATCACAGAAAGAGTCCCAGTCAGCTTTAAGGTAGTTGTAAGATGTTCAATGATAGGGGGATTCTGATGGTAAAGAAGAATGAGATAATAGTTTTAGAGAGACCAAACCATGATCAGAAGCACCTAAGGGTGAGTGTGGAGAAACTTAGCACTGACTAGGATCAGAAACAAGATATAAGTCGAGTAGAGAAGGTAAATGATTCGGTTTGTCTAGAAAGTGAGTTGGAAAGTTGACTATTTGAGTTAGTGATTGAGAATGGCAAAAGTTGTGGGCCTCAATGCCTGCAGAGTCACTGACACTAGAGCCAAGCCATTCAGTGTGATGAACATTAAAGTCACCGACAACAACAATATTGGTTGATGAATAATGAATGAGGGCTTGCTCAATATAATCAATCAAGAAGAGTGCAGTCTTGAGATGACGGAGAGCGATGTAGAACAAAGAGAAAGGTGATAGAGTGAAGTGGTGCTAAACGAAAGCACATAAAAGAGTAGTCTGTGGATTCAAACCTAGTTTCCCAACAAATGGGTGAATTCTTACGAATGTAAATGCCTATGATCTGGCCTAAGATAAACCTGACCTGACCTGAAATATATATATATATATATATATATATATATATATATATATATATATATATATATATATATATATATATATATATATATATATATATATATATATATATATATATATATATATACATACATACACATATATATACACACACACACACACATATATACACACACATACATATATATATATACACATATATACACATTTTTTTTTTTTTTTGATGATTAGATCACTCCATGACTTCCCTCAATGGGTCCAAAGGTCATTTTTTGTCAGTTTTTTGCCCACATTTCGGACTAACTTACCATTATCCAAATTAATTTTTTTTTTTTTTTTTGTTATTTTATCTTTTTGAAGAAAATAAAAATGTTAAGCTAAATTTATTTTTTTATTTGAACTATGAAGATCATTCAAAAATATTGATTTATTTTACTATATTTCACTATCTTTTACTACCTTTGTCCTATGTACCATTTTAATGGGTTTTCATTTATATTTTAAATACACATATATTTGTTTCTTTTTGTGAACAATTATATTTTACCTTGTACAACTTGATTTTTAACTTATTTTATATTTTGGTTAACATTTATTTTTTTAGGTAACTAATTAACTTAAAATAACCTAACAGTAAAATGGCACCAAAAAAGTTAAATCTTTCTCAAAATAAGGCTGAAGTATTTCTAGTAAAGAAAGTTAGAGCAAATCTTTCTTGTTCTAAACTTCCTACTGGCATAGAGGTTTTGCAATACTACCTATATCTAAAAAACTTGAATCCCAAAGTGTAAAAAAGTTTTAATTAGATGTCATTTCGAGATTAATTCATTTGAGCTCAGGGCATCTGAGCTCGAATGAATTGACACAAGCTGACTGTTGTGTAATGTCTAAATTGATAAGGCCATGGAATTTTGCAGGATTCCCTATCATAACCTTATAAAATATCAGGTAAACTATGAATTCAAAATTTATTAACAAATTTATTTTTATCTTTATTTTAAATATTGAATAAATTTTGCATTTTAAAGAAAGAAGATTGATATAATGGTGAACAACTATTACAAGTTAAAGAAGAATAGCAAAAGGAGCAACAGATACAAAAAGTAATAAGGAATTTTTTGAAGAAATGTTAAAATTCTTTTGAATTAGTAAAAAAATAAGAAGAACTAATTGAAGATATTATGAAAAACATCAAGCCAAAAATGAAGATATTGCGTTTATCATGGACCAACCTGGAAATGAGATGGGAAAAATAGGAACAAATGATAAAAGGTTCACGTACACTATTAAGATATCCCACAAAAAATTGTGTTCCATGTTAAACATTTTTAAACTAAATTAAACTAAACAATGGTAATTATGTTATGATATTAATGGTAATGATGGTAATAATAGTAATGGTAATGATGGTAACAATGGTAAGAATGGTAAGAATGGTAATAATGGTAATAACGGAAATAATGGTAATAATGGTAGAAAGTTAATGATGGTAATAATGATAATTAATGGTAGTAATGGTAATGGTGATATTAATGGTAAATATGTTATGATATTAATGAAAATTAAACTTAATAATGGTAGCAATCTTTACAGTTTAGAGAACTCCTCAAGTAGTGATAATAATTCTGACTGTGAATATGTAGCAGATATAAAATTAGAACAATCTGCCTCTGTTGTTTTGTTACCAAAAAATATTTAAAAAAACTGCTCTCACAGCAATAGGTGATGGAGTTTCAGTTAGACAACACACTGCATTAGTGGCAAGTGTTATTGCTATTTCAGGAGGTGATATTACTAATTTTGCAATATCTTCTTCAACTGCGAACAATAACTTCTTTAGTTACAACTTCTTCTGCAACTTAGAGTTGCAGAGGAAGTTGTAACTAAAGAAGGAGAAAAGATAAAAAAAAACACATTACTGATCTTGTTAAATCTTCATCATTATCTATTACACTCCATTTTGATGGAAAAATAGTTAAGGAGTTCACAAACAGAATAGAACATCAACTTGACAGGCTTGCTGTTTCCATCAGGATAGATGGACAGAGAGAGCTTCTTGGGATTCCTCATTTGAACTCTTGTACCGAAGAAACAGAAGAATACAATCATAAAACTTCTTCATCAATTTGATATTTTTGATAAATTACAAGGATGCGTTTTTGATACAACTTTTGTAAATACTGGTAATAAAAAGAGTGTGTGTATTAGATTAGCTGCAGAGCTTAATAGACCTCTACTTCTCCTAGCATGTAGGCATCACATCAATGAAAGGCATATTACTCACTGCTGGAACATTTATCCAAGTAGTAAAACAAATGGCTCAAATAATCCGTTGTTTAAGAAGCTTAAAGATGTATGGAACTCAATTGATCAAAATTCTATTGTGTTAAACAAAGTAAAAATTAAAGATATTTCTGATAGCTGGCTGCAGGTACAGTTCAAGGAAGCCTTATCTTTTTCTCAAAGTGTTATCAGAATGAAAACGATGAAAAAAGGAATTTAAAGTTTTGAATAAATTGAATACTCTGTAATAAAATAAGTTTAGTAAGCTACTGTTTTGTGTCTAAATAAGAAGTCTTATTTAGGATGGGTGTAGGTCTGATTATCTAGAGTTAGTCGAATTGACAACAATGGTTTTATCTGGTGGTGAACAGTACAGACTAAGAAAACCTGGGCCTGTACACTATGCCAGATTTATGGCAAAGGGAATATACTTTCTGAAAATCTCCTTCTAGACAACATTTCTAGCTTGACAAATTTCGAGAAGAAATAAATAAATGATATGGCATCCTTCACAGCTGTATTTTACACTGAGTGCTTTATAAAGGCTGAAATTCCGGCTGTCGCTCCATATCAGATGACATTTCTATGTTTTAAAAGTTTTTAATGATTTTAGTTTTATTACTTTTTTTCTTTGAAAATTTTGTGTAATATTTAATAGTCTAAAAATCTTTAGAATATGAAAGCTCTTTGGCAAATAGTGAGATACTTAAAAATCAATCCTATCCAAGCAAAACCTGTTATAGAGTCTCTCAAGAGACACACCTGGTACATAGACCCTATTATTTTAGCTATGCCTCTTGTTGACAAAATGTACTAGAACGGGGTGACATTGCCAAGAAGTTGTACTCAACCTTAAGACCTACAACTTATGCCATAAAGAGGCATCAAGTTAATTTAAATATACTGAACTCCCTTATGTTAAATGATGATAATTCCCCAAATTTGACCCCGCTTATAACTGACCAGAGTTGGTTAATTTATATCTTAAACATGCAAATGGTGAAGTACAGTGGCTTAAGACTCCATCTGAGACAAGGGATCTAAATGACTATTACCTAGAATTGAAACAATTTGTGAATAATCTTAAAGTAGTAAATGACTGTAGTGAGAGGGCTATAAAACTAGTTTATATATCTATTTTTTATGTTTGGTTTTTACTGTTTATGTTAAAAATCTCAATTTATTTCACGAGCTCATTACTTTTAAATATTCTTTAATAGGAGTTGATCAATAAATCGCACAATGAAGATAAAAGACAAAGTACCTTCCTCATATCAAACAAATATAAGAGAGAAAGAACAATTAAAAAAAAATCTGATTATGTAAAGAATTCTTTGTTTACAGAATAAATTTATAAACATGAACTATGTTTGACAACTAATTACTTCAGAAACTAATCATAAATTATTTGACTTTATTATGTAAATATTAATATTTTAATATGTAAAGTATCTTGTTAACAAGCAGAACACTAATATAGTGCAAAAAAAGCTTAAAAACGCCTTTTTAAATTTTTTGATCTTGAAATAGTTCAAGAAAAAAAAATTTAGCTTAACATTCTATTTTTATTTTCTTCAAAAAGATAAAACAAAAAAAAAAACAAAAAAATATTTTGGATAATGGTAACATTCCCTTCAGTTAGTCTGAAATGTGGGCAAAAAATGGGCAAAAAATGACCTTTGGACCCATTGAGGGAAGTTATGAAGTGACCTAAACATAAAAAAAAAGTTATTAGTAATATCAAGGTTGGGGCACCTTATGAAAAGCAATGTTAGTTGAAATTCAAAAAAGTCATTATTTTGGAACACCCTTAATATAATATATATATTAATAATATTTTTCATTTTAGTATTTAAGTCAAAAAGACTTACCATCTTGCTTCTCTATGGTTCATGGCATTGATGGCACAAAGTGTTCTATTTATAACTATCTGCAAAATGTTAGTATTTTATTTTTGTATTATACTTGTGTGTTTTATTATGTATTTTTCAAATGTTTAGACTAAGTTTTAAGGTCCTTAAATTTTTTGCTCACCCCTGACTTTTTAACAAGCCAACCATGATTGGGTTTATTACAATAGGTGTTTAAAATAGTTCAAAAAATGTTTGCATAAAAAATTGAAATTTATAAGTTTAAACCATCAAGACTACAGATGATCATTAATAAGATACCCAAGTATTTACAGGTACACTTACCCAAGGATATTGGGGCTATTATGATTGAGAAAGTCATACTTATTCATCTACATGTTCTTGATTGACTAAATAAACAATTTCTTGTTTCATATTGATGCACTTCAAACAGTAAGAAATAGACAATATTTTGAAATGACAGAAAAACAGAGTTTTTTGGTTAAGGACTTCTTGAAAGTTACAAAATTCAAAAAAACCAAAACAATAAAAACAAAAAATCTTAACTGACATTGAAAAGTACTAACAAACAAATTAATTATTAGTGATCCAGTTTCTGTTTGCTAAAAAAAGAGCTAATTAAGGTGAGTTTTCTTGATATTTAAGTTCTACTAAAATTTTGAGTTGGCAGAGCTAGGATTTGAACCTATGATCCTGCTGTCATGGGTTTTTAAAATCTGTAGTTTTTGATGTTTTTGATGATCTTACTGAGCTATCACAACCTTTTCCTTTTTTTTTTTTGGCTTTGCTTATTTTTAGTTGATGACTACATAACATCACATGTTAAATAAAAGCTAAAAATTTGTTGATAAAAAATATTACTACACTATTACTATTCTTTAGTTACTGTTAGTTGCTTTGTGTTTGTTCTACTTTGTGGTAGTAGAACATTTAGCTTATAAGTTGTAGAACATTTATTTAACATATTCTCAATCAAAAAGTTCTAAGTTCAAATCCATCAACACAGCAGTCTTGTTTAATAAAGTCGCATGGACTTTTTAGAGTTGACATAAATTTCCTTAAACTTACCAGAAGTCAATTTAAAGAAATTTATGTTGTCAGAGTTGGCAGAGGTAAATTTAAAGACAGTTATTGAGACTCTCAAATGTGTATAGATGTATCTAAAGATGTAACATAATTAAATGTTTATGCCGTGTCTTTTGTAATTAAGAAGCTCTATTTTATGACTTAGGGTTAATTAACAGGACTGAGACAATTGCATAGCTCATCACTTAGGAGGCCGTGCTCCATCTATGAGTCAAGTTCTCTTTAAACTCAATCATGCCAAAAATAACCAAAAATATTAAACATAAAAAACCGTCCCCACCACCTAACAATTTTAACATTTTTTTTACAAATATTTGTGGTCTGCAAAGCAACCTTCTATCAGTTGAATCATACCTCTTACAAAATTCACCTGACTTGCTTGCTATTAGTGAGACTATTTAAAATCCACTATTACTCTTTAGTGTTGATACTTTACTCGCTTTTACCACTTTACTTGCAGTGTTGATAGGTACTATCCTTTGATTGACTAAGACTCCAATAGTCATATGTTTGGATTGGGGGTATACATATGCATCAATTCACCTATTTGTTGTAAAATCAAGTTTGAATCCTTTGACCATTTTTTTATGTTCGTTTGCTTAGCACCTTTTCACTCTATCACCTTTTTCATTATTTTTTATTGTTCTCTGTCTTCCCAAAACTACACTCTTTTAGATGCAGTTTCTGATCAAATTAACCATGCCCTTTCTCTTAACCAATATTGTTGTTATTGGTAATTGAATGCTCATTACACTGAGTGGCTTCGTTCTAATGCCACTAACCATGCTGGCACTAAAGCCTAAAACTTCTGCATTTCTCAATCTCTTACTCAGATAGTTAACTTTGTGACTCATTTTCCTGACAACCCAAATCATTCACCTTCACTCTTTGATTTATGTCTTGTCTCTGACCCAAGATTGTGTTCAGTTTCTCCTTTTTCTCCTTAAGGTGGTCTGACCATGCATTCATCTCTTTAATTCTTTTGTTTTCGTACTTCCTATTATTGAACTATTTACTACTACCGATGAAAATTCTAACCCCTCCAATTATTGTCTGATCTGTCTTCTTTCTGTTATTAGCGAGATCTTTGTGTCTTTGATCAACAAATTTCTCACATCCCATTATGAGTCAAGTAACTTCAGACAAACTTCACAGACAAATCACTTTAGACAAACAAAACAGTTTTTTGATCCTCTACCGCAGACTTGCTAACTGCTGTGACTAAAAGATTTTATTATGCATTAGATAGAGGTGGAGAGGCTAGGGCTATTGCTCTTGATATATCTAAAGCTTTCAACAAAGTTTGGTATGCTTGTCTTCTCCATAAGCTTGTTTCATAAGGTGTATCTGGGAAAGTTTTTCAATATTAATTAAAGTCATCCTTGAATGCCAACACTTTTCTTCATTTCCAGTAACTTCAGTAACAGTAACAGTAACAGGGTACCTCAAAGTTCTATCCTTGGTACTGTTTTGTTTTTTATCTACATTAATATTTTTTCAAACAACCTTTTTTTTTATTCTGATTCATTCTTAATAATTCAATTGATATGAAAAAATAATTCATTGATAAACTATCTAATCTTGGTAATTTATCAACAAATTTTCACGGAATCATTATTGAATCTTCAATAATTTATTAATGAGTTTTTGATGGTTTGTTAATGATATAACAACAAGTTAGTTGTCTTTTGAGTGCATTGCAAAGCAAAAGAAAATACATTTGAATTATTATTATTTAAGTTACTTGTTCCATATTTTAGATTATGTTTTTTATTGTTTATACTATGCTACTAATTTCAGTCAGACTAAAGTCAGTTGAAACATTATGAATATATTATTAATAAATTTATGTTTACTAAAAATATGTTTGTTTTTACATTGCAATATCATTCTTTTAAGGTGTTTTTTACATTTCAATAAGTTATTTTTTTCATTTTTTTAAAAATAAAAATGCCTTGTATAATGAAAAATAACTTTTTAAAGGTAGAACCATTCTGTGCAAATCATGTAAAAAGAAGTTCTGAAGTCGAATATGTAAGTTATTGTTTATCATATATATTTATTCTTTATTTGTTTCATTTATTATTGTTTCATTAGTTTTTATTTATTTGATTTTTACCTTTTCTCTGAACAGGGTTTTTGGTTAAAACAAATTTGATAGAGCAATTTTTTTTTAATAAAAGTTGTGACAAAAGTAGTTCAATTTTTGTAGCTTTTTAGTATTTAAATTTATTTTAAAAACTAAATGTATAATTATACATTTAGGCATGTTGGTTAGTTGGTGTATTTCCTGCCACCCCCTCAACTTCGTTCATTTCAAAAATATAATGTTTATATATTTAATTTATTTCTTGAAAATTTAACACGCTATGATAATTAAAGATAATTTAATGAGAATAGTAAATTTTATAGAATTAGTAGGAAAGAATGTTTGTACTTAGCCTATAACTTTTAAAATTTTTTTTATTTTTTGCAAAAAAGTTTCTATAAACAAAATGAATATTTTATCTATTCTGCTCTTATTACAGATATATCAGCTGTTTAATAAATACCCAAATTTTTTCCAACAATTTGTAATAATTTTTTACCATGTTTATGTTAAAAAAATTTTTTTTTTTAATGTTAAACACAAATCTTCGCCAGAAGAGGTTGCTAATTGTGCGTTTATGAACTGTTGTTGTTTCTTCTTCACTAATTATTTGTTATTATTTACAAACAAAATGCAAGAACGTTTGTTGTTATGTAAAATAATTTTTCAATGACTTTATAATTTATAACTTTTTCTTCCGCTAAAAATTTTTTAGAGCATTTTTTATCTTATCGTATGTTGGGTCCAACATGCTTTTGTAATATTTTGCACTTGCAATTTGGTAAGTTGGAGTAATTAGGGCATTATATCGCAAAAAACCAGCTTTCTTGACAACTGACCATGGTTGCATGGTGCATTTTGAAGAATAATCATTGCAAAAATAGTCTTATAAAATTTTTTTGCTTTTACGAATCGGAATCCATTTTTTCTGCAGGTTTCAATACAGTTGGGCATAATAGATTAAAGCATTTTTGCTCTTTGCTTTTTAGACCTTATGTTGAAAATAGGAGCTGTTATTTTTTTGTTTTGTATGGAAACAGAATCACTTTTTTTCTTAAACATTTGAGACTTTAAGCTTTACAGAAGCAGGGCCGGTTTTGGCAATAAGAGGGTGGTGTGTTTTAAGATGAAACAAAAAGCCACTGGCGGTCTGGTGCTTAAGATTTATTAGATACTTTTCCATTGCAAATATTGCACTTGACATACTTAGGATCACTAATAGATATTGTGAAATGCTTCCAAACCCAACATTTTTGACAACTTCTTTCCATCTTGTATAATAATAATAATAATAGCAATAATAATAATAATAATAATAATAATAATAATAATAATAATAATAATAATAATAATAATAAATTGTCATAAGTAAATAATAATAAAAATAAAAGTACTTAGAAAAAAAACTAAAAACTTACATTCACGATATGTTAATTTTTTTCACTTTCTTATATAATAATATATATAAAAAACTATTTTTAAGCAAACTTGTTTTCTTTAAATAAATGTTATCAGTCAAATTATTATGCGTACTGCAATAGCTTAATTATTTGTGGTTTTCACATTTTTAAGAAACAGATGGAAACGTGTTATTTAGTAACTAAAAAGTTAGGTAGTTTGTGAACAATGGACTTTATTCTAAATTTCATTTAGAAATAGTATAATAAAATATTTTGTTCAACTTCTAAAAAATAACTAATTTTCTAAACTAGATAAAAATTTAAAATCTTAAAAATATTTCGGCTTTTGGTATGTTTTTTAACCAAAATTTTGCTTTTTACCAAATTTATAAAAAGTACCAATCCGAAATTTCGGTATTGGTATTTTTTATAAATTCAAAAACAAACAGAACTACAGTCGATCACTAGCAATGACCAATCTGCTTTATACAATTGCGTTATTGTCCCTTTATCCAAAACATTTTTCAATTGTTAAATTATAATTCTTATATATGAATTAAAAATAAAAATTTTAATTGTTAAATATTAATTTTAAATTATGCTCAAATGAATAAATTAAAAGTAAATGCCAAAACTCTATGAGTATGAATGTTTCATACCTAATTAATGATTGATTTTTAGTAGAAGCAGAAGTATCTATCATTTTTCTTATTAAATATATTTTTCTAGCTTATATAAAATTTTTAAAACATTTTGTTTAAATAAGTTTAAATTTTATTTTAAAAAATGAAAAGATAAAAAGTGAAAAAATGTTTTAATTTTGTGAAGAATGCTTGAAGAATGTGAAAGAAACTTGAAACAAAATATTAAAAATTGAGTAAAATTTAAATTTTTTTCACAAACTAATATTTTGGATAGAAATTCCAGATATAAAAGATTTTATTTCAAGTGACAAGCTATTTGCTTATAAAATCATACTTAAAGACCTTAAATTCATTAATAATCAAGGCAGTCCAAGAAAATGGAAATATATAAGTTCTATAAAATATTATAAATATTAATTTTAAACACTTTTTTTTAAATTATTGAGAGAGTATCTGCTTATATTTTTGTGCTAATAATGTAAGCTTTACTTTTCTTAATTTAGTAAATAAAAGGCTTTGTGTGTTTTTTTAAAAGCAGTGTTGTGTCCTATCTTAATTAAATGTTGCTTCCTATTGCCACTGTAGGTAACATTGTTGTTTATTCTTATTATGAAGATATTGTCAGTATTGCCAACATAGATAATAAACCAAAAATTAGTTTATCTAAGTTCCCATGACACACTCAAATATTGGAACTAGGAAAGGATCTATTACCAAAATTAAAAATGATTTAACTAAATACAATTTTCAACTTACTTGCAGAAATCATGTTTCAGAGCAGAAATTAATTCATTTTTACAAAGTTGTAACTTATGAGAAATAGGTAGGACCAGATAATCTTTCTTTAAAAGAATGAGAAAAAAATTAATTCATTCATTTTTAAAATAATCAAAATTCAAATTTTAGTTAATTCTGAAAACAAATCTTTGATTAGTCATTAAAGGACTGTAGTTGATAAAGCAAAAGATGTATTTGATTATTACAAAAACTACATTACAAAGATATTTTTCTATATTTCTTTTTCTATTTTCTATATTTCTTCTATTTTCTGTATTTCTATATTTCTATATTTTTCTATATTTCTATTTTTTGTCTGTTTTTATTTATACATATAAACTTTTATTTGATTATTATGTATTTATTTCATGTTTTTAACCAGTTATTTACAAAAATATATATTTATAGAAATATAACAATTTTTAAATAAAATTATTACCCAAATCTTAACTGCCTTTATCCAACTCTTAGTCGATATAGCAGCGTTTGCTTACACATTATTTCTCTTTGTCATTCAATGCATAAACTTTTCACTTTTCCGATAAGTTACTTATGGGGACCTCTTTATGAAAAAAAAATTACTTACGGATAAAAATCATTTACAGATAAACAAAAATGTCTACGTTAACTTTTTGTTTCCAAAAGTATGTAAAAATAAGTAATAAAAAGTGTGCATTATTTCATAAACTTGCCCCTATAAGTGAAAATATAGGTGTACAGAAAAAAAGCTGTTTACTGTAGCATAATATTTTTTTAGGCTTTGCCACGATATGATTTAGATGGTTTGCTAGAGTTACTTCCAGAAAATCCCTATCGGTGGATGCGTGAACGAGCAAAGCAAACTTGGAATGACTGGCTTCAAGCAATCAAGCAATTTAATCTTACTAAACAAAAATGGCAGAAAAAGAAAGTATTTATAATATTTCATAATTTTCTTTATTTTAGTAAGTATTATAGTAGATATATAGGCGCTTTTATAATTGGTAATTTTTTATTCAGAAATGCTCCTACATTTTTCAAGTGATAAAACAGAATAATATATGCTCCTACATTTTTCAAGTGATAAAACAGAATAATATCTATTTGTATCTTATTATATTCATATTTACATAATTAGTTGATGAAGTCCATCTAATTAAATTACCAAATCTTAATATCTGATGCAAATAGAATATTGTTATTTTATAAATTAATATATAAATTTTCCATACCTGCTTTATTGTTGGCGCGGATGTTTAAACTTCTTTTATGTTTTACTTTTGACTTATCATTAAAAAATCTATCTGTATATATATATATATATATATATATATATATATATATATATATATATATATATATATATATATATATATATATATATATATATATATATATATATATATATATATATATATATATAATATAAGGTTTTTTAGAAGTTTGATAATAATCTCAAACTTCTAAAAAACCTTACATAATTGATTACTGCAAATAAAAATACATAGTGTTTGTTAAAAATTTTGTATTTTTTCCACCTAGGTTTACCTATAGTTTTTTATTGCCCTGTAGGACAATGACTTTTTGATTAAACTTACACAGTCTGTGTCACATATCTTATAAATAAAGGTTAAAAAAAACTTGGAACCAGAATGATCTAAAATTCACGAATTCTGGCCAGAATTCCCGTACATCCCTATATATATATATATATATATATATATATATATATATATATATATATATATATATATATATATATATATATATATATATATATATATATATATATATATATATATATATATATATATATATATATATATATATATATATATATATATATATATATATATATATATATATATATATATATATATATATATATATATATATATATATATATATATATATATATATATATATATATATATATATATAGGGATGTACGGGAATTCTGGCCAGAATTCGTGAATTTTAGATCATTCTGGTTCCAAGTTTTTTTTAACCTTTATTTATAAGATATGTGACACAGACTGTGTAAGTTTAATCAAAAAGTCATTGTCCTACAGGGCAATAAAAAACTATAGGTAAACCTAGGTGGAAAAAATACAAAATTTTTAACAAACACTATGTATTTTTATTTGCAGTAATCAATTATGTAAGGTTTTTTAGAAGTTTGAGATTATTGTACTGCAAAAAGATTTGCCATCCATTTGCCATCCATTTGCCATGGGCAACAAACTAGCTCTTTTTTCAGTAAAAATGTTACCTGCATCTGAGAATAGTATAGTCTCATTTAAAAAATTACTTAAATTTTGAACTATTAAAAAGTATAGGATGCCTAATATAGAAAGTATTTCTAAATTTTTAATCTAAATGGAAAAATAGAAAAAAAAAAAAAGAAAAAAAAAAAAAACTTTAATTATAAATATTATGCAGGGTAAAAGTTTCATTAAATAAAACTATAAAAAACAAATAAAAACAACATATTGGATTTAGATGAAACAAGAATCAAATTAATGAAATAAATTATAAACACATCCCCCCTCCTCCTCCAATGCATTTTGCTATACACTTTTTTGAGTACCTTTTATCTCCCTAAAAGTACCTACGCTTTTAACCTACCTAACATTTTATGATATTTTCTTTCAATTTAGTGTTTTCTTAATTTTATAATTGTTTCAGCCCTCCATCTCATATACACCATTTGCAGACCCTCTCTTCCCATTAGAACATATATATATATATATATATATATATATATATATATATATATATATATATATATATATATATATATATATATATATATATATATATATATATATATATACTCGCTCAATCTTATCTTTACAATGCAAAACCTTTGTTTATCATTTTGTTGGCATATTTTAGCTTATAATCTCCCTAATGTTCCATCTGCTATATTTCTATTTAGTTTTTTCATTAGTTTCTAATATTTTTAATTAGTTTTTTTTTTAATTAGTATCTAAAAACAATTCAAGTTTTTTTTTGAATATTTTAACTAATTTTATTGTTTCATATTATATTTATATAGCTTAAATGTTATAAATCCACTCTTAACTCTTAGCAACTCTTAACTCTTAGCAACTCTTAACTCTTAGTAACTCTTAACTCTTAGCAACTCTTAACTCTTAGCAACTCTTAACTCTTAGCAACTCTTAAAAGCTTTTATTAAGCATTAAAGTAAATAATAATAAATTTTGGTTGTATATCTGTTATGAAATCAGTATGTAATAAGTTTTCAAATAAATTTAATAAAATCAAAATCATAGGTTCTATGCTTCATGGGATCAATGGGCTTTCAACCGATGATATTAGAGATGGCTGGTAAAGGGGGTCCTCTTGGGGAATTAGTTCAATGGACTGATTTAATATCTGGACTCTACGTTTTAGGTTATGACATTCGACTTCACCTCAACAATTCAGAGTTTACTAAGTATGATTTAAATTTATTTTTTATTCTTTGCTTTTATCTAAATTTTTTATTCTTGTTTTATTCTAAGATTTTACTAATCAAAAAATAAAATAGCTGTGAAAAACTATGCTAACTATCTACCATTTATCGTATACTTATTTTATTGGTTTTAAATTTATTATGAAATAATTGGTTTTGATGATCTGTAATGTCTAACTATATAGCTGCACATCAACTAAACAGATAAAGAAAATTTTAGGACAAATTTTTTGTTTCATGATATTTAAATTTTAATTTAAATCACAATTTTTAGATTTTTTTCTCTGCTATTTAAGAATTTTTTTTTTTTTAGATTTATGGACGCTGATGACGCTAATGGTTGTGCCCAAAAGAAGTTTGAAAAAAATCTAGTTGATATTTTTTACACTGATTCTAATGGCTTTGTTATAACAATGCAAAAATTAGGTTTTGCTTCTTCTGCAAAATATAGGTTATTTATTTACTAATTCTACTATTATACTATTTAGTAAACCACAAATATGTATATTAGTAACAGAATATATTAATATCATACAGGTCTTTAAAGGGTTTCTGCTCCTCCTTAAAAACAATAAAAATCCTTTAAAAACATCTTTTAATTTCTCCTGATTTTTTTATTTATATTTCAGGAAATTTTGTTGATATAAATGGATTATTGAATATGAAATCAATAGAGAAGTAAATAGTTATTTCTTTGATGAAAATCCTAATGAAAATCCTTTGATGAAAATCCTAAACTTTTATTTTTATGTATGTTTATATATTAAAAAGAATGTCAAAGTAGTGAATAAGTACACTGATTGGAAGGATGGATACCTGTAATATACACACTATCACAATTGATCCTTAAAAACCATTCTCAAAGCTACAGATTGAAGCTTAAAGTAGTTATTGTCTTCTTAAAATTGTATATTCTAAATGTTTCACAAAAGTTTGTCACAAGCACATGATTATAAAAGAATAGCTAAGGCCATAAAAGTTAGACTTCTTTTACATGTTTTGTGGAATTCAACATCCTGAAATCCAGAGAGTTGCAAAGAAAGTAATAAAAGTAAGCAACCTGGATATTGTAAATCAATACTGAATACCAGGTTTGAATATTATATGCTTGAAAAAATGAAGTTTTGGTTCCTTTTAAGTTAAAATTTTTGCTTTCTTTGGTATTTAAAACTCCATCCTAATGCAATTGTTGTCTTTGTAATATCTTTTTTGTTTTATAAGTATTGAAATATCCTTAGACAAACTCTTTCACAGGTCAGCAATAAAAAAAAGTTTTCTGTTGCAGAGCAAAGGATATGTTTTTCACAGAGCATTTATAATTTTGTTTTAAATATGCAACTCTTTTTTTTCCCTATCACAAAAAAGTTTTAACAATATTTGGGCTTAAATCATTAGTATTTGGGGTAAAAGATGCTTAACAAATCTTTTTGCTAACTGTTCTTGTGTGAAAAGAGTTAGCAAAACTTTTGCTAACTTGCTGCTTAGCAACAAGTTAGCAAAATATTTTTTTTGATTTCAGTCACTATAATTTTACAAAACATGAAATTTTTCTAAATCATCAGCAGAAGCTTTAATTTTCATATAAGTAACAAGCTTCATTAACAGTTTGTAAATAAGATATTTTAACTTTTCTGAGAATTCAGCCGTAAATAATTTTTTTAGTGTCTCCATTCGAAAATGTGTCATCGGTTTATCAGTTTGAAAAGAAACTATGACAAAAAAAGATATATTTCAGTGTAAGATAAAAAATGAAGTTTAAAAAATATTATAAACGCAGGTCAAAAAAAAAAAAATTTTTTTTCTGTTGCCAAACAAACTATTTTTTGTATAGTGTTTCTCATTTTTATTTTAAAGATTCAATTCTTTTTATTGAAATTTGTAGAAAAGAGAAAGAGATGTAACCTTACGATGATAGGACAGAGGTTACTTAATTACTTAATTCCATACTAATACCAACCCTAACCTTTAGTTTATGTACCTGTGGATGTTCTCCTTATTTATTCAGTTGATGTGTGTACTAAAGGCCTTGATAGCTCCCTATTTCTGTATGATGTCAGTCTGTTGATCAAAGTATGCATTTATATATATATATATATATATATATATATATATATACATATATATATATATATATATATATATATATATATATATATATATATATATATATATATATATATATATATATATATATATATATATATACATATATATATATATATATATACATATACATATATATGTATATATATATATATATATATATATATATATATATATATATATATATATATATATATATATATATATATATATATATATATATATATATATGTATATATATAAGGTCCTAAACTGTGGTTTTACTGCAAATGCACTTTATGGATGTCCCAATACATTTTTTATTAATAGGAGTATTGAATAAAATTTGCTTTGTTTTTCATTAAATTTTTGTTTTGTCAATTTTTGTATTAAATTTTTTATATTTAGATAATAATATTGCTATAATTGATTTTTATATTTTAATTAATCTAAACAGGTGCATGATGCGGATCTTAGATTCTTTTGGCACTTACCCAGAATTCAACTATCCTTCTTACCCTCATAAAATACCAGGTGGTCGTTCTGGTTGGGCAAATCAGAATCTTATACCAACTCAGTTTTTAACTTTATTTCGTAAGAATTTTTAACTTTTATATGATTTCTTTACACAAAGTTTAATAATTACATTATCTTTTTATGTAAATTTGTTTCAGTATCGCATAAAGGAATTTCTTTGTATTTTTTCCATTTTGTTTCTGTTTTCAAAATTAGAAAACTGTAGACTGTAGAAGATTGTATAAACTAAAATATAGAAATAAGAAAAATTTCAAAAGTATTCAAACTATCAAATTCAATTTCAAATTTTATATTTTGAAAGCATAATGAAATTTTTGTTAACATTTTTATTAGGGCCCTGCGAATTGCTTTGATTCAATTCGCGAATCATATGTCGCTTTGTTCGAGATTCGATTTGAAAAAAAATGATTAGAGTTTTTCAAATGATTTTTTAATTTAAATTACTTTATGTTTTCATACAAACAGCGTTAAAAAGTGTTTAAAATATTAATATTTATGTTATCAGAAATTTCAGCGTTAGAGTAATTTTGGAACGTAAATGTACTTTTCATTAAAATTAATTGTTAATTAGGGATTTAAACAGAGCGGAACGCAAATTAGTAACGCAAAAGTTAGTTTTTTTTTTTTGTGTTGTTAATGTTTGACTTCGCTTTCACTAAAGTAATTTTAAATTCGATACTTTTTGTTTGTGCTATATCAAGGTATTTTGCATCAAGCTATAAAATGATTAATTATCTTTGCTTCATGGATAAAAGAGGGATAGGTAAATTTGTTGACGATTTTACTACGCAGTTGGAAATGAGGTTTGATTAAAGTGAAGACATTTTTCTTATAGTTACTTTCTTAGACCCTCGATTTAAATCAGAAATGTTTACTTTGGCAGAGATACAAATCGTAAAATCTTATCTAATGACATCTGAAAAAAAACATGATTTAAATATTACTATGATTCCTGCTAAAATTCAACTCGAAATAGCAAATTTGTCATCTTTTTTGATAAAATGTTTGAACATATCACTAAAAATCATACTCTACCAGAAAAAAGAACTTTAGATCAGCAATTGAATTTTGAAACTACTGCATAAATCGAAGAGAAAATGTTGAGACGTTCAGATTGTTCTATTCTCTACTAGAAAAACAAATGTAACATTTTCCTTTTATTATCCAAAGTTGCATCTGATTTTCTTGCTGTTCAAGCTACAAATCGTTCGTCTGAAAGAGTTAACTCTGTGGAAGGAGGAGTGATTTGGGCTAGAAATAACAAAAAGAGTTTGTTAAAATAACATTCAAATTTTGTAATATTTTGTATAGTATACATAAAAATAAAGGTAAAAAACTTAAATTTCTTTAAACTAGTGATTCGATTTACGAATTAAGACCTGCTTCGATTTGAAACTATAAATGCTGATTCGCAGGGCCCTAATATATATATATATATATATATATATATATATATATATATATATATATATATATATATATATATATATATATATATATATATATATATATATATATATATATATATATATATATATATATATATATATATATATATATATTAAATAAATATTTATGTATAGATATTTTTATATACATATATATGTACTTATATAAAGGAGTGAGCTGCTCCTCCAAACAGCTTCCTACGAGATTTTTTGGTTTTTTGTTCATTCATTAAAAAAATTAAATACAAAATTTGATTTTATGCTAGTTACAAGGATATGTTTGTAACGTTTATGTTACAAGAATATATACATAACAAGTGGCATTTTTAGCGCCGTAAAATATTTCTTGAGACGAGCGTTGTCTTTAGGTTTTCTCACTAGTTATCCATTTATTTATTAACCAGATTACTTATTTGATAAAAAATTTAACAAAGACGCTTTAAAAGATTTTACTGCTCATAGAAAATGTTTTATATTTTCTTAGGGGTCGTCCATAAAGTATATACGTTTTTATTTCCCTTCTTCCTCTCGCATTTTGCTATATTCATTTTTGAGTACCCTCCTCCATAAAAGCACCTACGCTTTTAACCTACCTACCCAACATTTATATATAAAAGTAAGGAGTTATGATATTTTGAAATATCATGACTCCTTACTTAATTAACTCCCTGCCCCCTATTCCATTTATGTGATCCAATCATACGTACTTTATGAACAATCCCTTATTGTAATAGAATGCAGGCATATTAAGAATTACTACTACAAATTAGAATTCCGCAATAAAAGCCAATAATATATTAAAGCGAAAAAAATAAAAGTTAAATATAAAAGTTATTATACAATTTTTTATCAATTAAATAATTTTATTTTTTATCAATATAATTTAGGGTGTAATAATTTTATAGTTATCAAATAATCTAATCTAATCAAAAGCATTTGCATTTGCAATTAAAATAAAAAAATATATATTTAGTATTGCATAAAATAAAAATTATATATTTAGTATGTTTTAATAATAAAGTGATTATTCATTGTGATTCCTAAAGTTGGAAAATTTATAAAATGCCAATACAAATTCAACTAGAAAACTTTTTTTTTATAAAAAGTTTTTTTCAAGTTTGCAGACATAATGTTAAAAAATTATACGTAGTAACAACTAATGGAGTGTTGGTTCACATTTCACTATTTATCTCATCTTTCTATCAAATTTATTTATGAAAAGTTATGTTGCAAGATTTGACTAAAAAATATAAAATAAATATAACTTTTTTGTAGCTCACACTCATGACAATAGTTTCCTTGGTTTTGTGGTGGGAAATATTAACTCAACTGAGAATCTTCCAAAAAAAACAAAAAAAAACATTGCCTTGATATATGCTAAACTTTCATCATATTTAGCTGTAAGAGATTATTTATTTAAAGTTTTCTTTTTAATTTTCATAGAGAACTTTATGTAATTTATTTCATATAATTCTTTTTTTTCCTTATGATATAGGGGAGAATAGCATATCTAGATGTGATAAATGAGTATTTTGAGATACATGCAACCCTTGTTGAAGTTAATGTAAGCTTGTTTGTTAGCTTTCCTTTGTTTGATTTTTCAATTACTCATATAATATAGTTCGTTTTTATTGAATAGCATCCAATTCCAAAGTATGTCATAAATCATGGACCAGTTAGTGGTAAAAAAGTGAAAGAATTACTTTTGCAATCTAAGGTTAGTTAAAACAATCAGTTTTACAATCAATGGTTTTTTAGTTGAGTGGCTTAAAAAACATATTTATATGTGTATATGTATACCCACATAATTTTCAGCTATTTATTGGTGTTGGATTTCCGTATGAAGGTCCAGGTCCTTTAGAAGCATTAGCTGCTGGTGCAACTTATATTCAGCCAAAGGTATCAAGTATTTTACTTTTTTGAAGTATCAAAGATTTATAGGTATTAAGAGGTTTATATGTGTATTAGATTTATTTTAAATATATTTAATTATACTATAATGATTTTTAATTAGTAATTGTTAAAGTTAATGCATTACATGCAAAATTGTCGTATATAAGTTATATTTAAAAAAATCATATATGTTATATATGATTTTTTTAAATATAACTATTTAAAAAAATCATATATGTTATATATGATATTTTTAAATAGTTATTTTATAATATTATTCATTTTTTTATAAATATTATTAGTTATATTGTATATAAAGCTTTTGATAAGGTTAGAAACTTGTTTCTATTCTTCGAACTGATTGTTTATTGCTTTAAAATAAATTTTTTTGATTGGCTAGTTGGAAGTTTTAAGTGGAGTTTTGCAAGGTTCTGTACTAAGACCTCTTTTTTTTTTAAATATCTTTCTCAATAACATGCTAGATCTCACTCTGTAAACTAATCACCAACTACACAAAGGTAATAGTGGTTATCAGACTAATAATTTCTCCAAGTGGACATTAACCTTCTAGAGTAAACCCCATACCAGAAGCATAAGCTGTAATAAGGACAAATGTAAAACTATGTTATTTGACTAGAAAGTTAATAACTGACTAAGAATACTTTTATTGAAATATAATCCTTACTATGCTTGATTGTCTCGTGTACTTTATACAATATATGTATGACCATATGAGCCACTAAACTGTAACCTCGCACTTTTAGCTCTAGCACTAACCACTGAAGGACCTGCCAGTTGGCTTCATGGGCAATGTCAAATAGTAACTAATTATTTGCAAAGAAAATTCTTCTGCATTTGCATTGTATTTGAAGAAAATTTTTTTCCAAACTTTATTGTATCTATTATATCAGTCAACACCTTAAAAAATCTTCTTTTGGGATTTTCTGGGACTTTTACTTAACAAAATCAAATTAAACAAACTTAACAAATCAAAATTTACCATAGTGGATGTTTGTTGTTCTATTTGCAAATGCTTAATCATTTGTTATAAATTACCTATATTTTTATTATTATTATTGTTATTATTATTAATATTATATTAGATTGTAGTATTTTATCTATAAACTCAGTTAACACTTGCTAAACCCTCGGAGTTAGGGTCGGCATTCGGCAATGCGGACCTGAAAATGTTTGAGGTCGGAAAAAAATTGCTGACCTCGTTTCTATGTTTTATGGTTAGACCTTTGTATCAAATAGTTTTTGCCGACCTGATGCCGACCTTAAAAAGATTGAGGTCAGCAATTTATTGCCGACCTCATTTTTTGACCATCATTTCCTAATTCCAAGGGTTGCTTGCTTGATTATTTGGATTTTGTATCAAAGAATATAGACTATATACAGTTAATGTATATTTAGAATGTCAACCCTCGGAATTAGGAAAATTGAGGTCAGCAATAATTTGCGACCTCAATCTTTCAGAGGTCGGTGTCAGGTCGGCAAAAATTATTTGATTCAAAGGTCTTACCATAAAACATAGAAGCAAAGTTGGCAATTTTTTGCCGTCCTCAAACACATTTAGGTCAGTAGTTAGGCATTGCCAAATGCTGACCCTAATTCTGAGGATTGGAATGTATACAGTTATATATTTTCTCAATATACAATTTAAAGTTAAAATATTGAAAATGAAAATCTGTTTAGCGACACTAAACACTTAAAACATTAAAAATTGTTGATGGCAATTTACTATATTTATTTTTATTGTATTGTATTTTTATTATACATTTTTGTTATAAATTGTAAAGTCATTAAGAGGAATCTTTATAACTATACATTGGAATTTAAAATAATATAAAAAGAACAGTTATAACTAAGAAGTCTCTATCATAGTTTAGGCTATTAAAATTTTTTTTTTTAAGTTTACAATTAACTGCGATTCTTTATTTAAAATTTGTTTTAATGAGTTTTAAAATATAAGCTGTAATGAGCTTGTTTCCATGAAAATAACTACATGAGCTAGACAAGTTTTCAAATTTTGTATGTGACTTTTTTTGTGATATTTTATGTTTGTGCGCTTAATTTACATTTAAATTAAAAAAAAATAAACAAAATATCTACTAATTTTTATGCACCCTTAATAGTATTAAAATTTATGTTGATATATTGTTGAATACATGTTTTTATTTTTCAATAAAATGTCATCAAATAAAACAAATGAATCTTGATTTTGTTTCAAATTATATTGTTTCAAATAATTTAGTTTGATCAACCGAAGCACAAGTTTAATGAAAAGTTTTTTGAAGATAAACCTACATTAAGAAAGGTTAGTTTTAGGTTGTAATAAATTTTTTTTAAACCATTATTTTTAAGTACTTGGTGCTTTATCAGACTCTAAACAGTTGGTACTTTGTTCAAACTGTTTTATTTTGTTATCTTATTGAGCAAAAAATTGTACAAAGTAAAGTGGAAAATACTAGTTTTAAAGTCATATTTTCACAAAACATTTAATTGTCCCATAAAAAAAAAATTAATAAAAACAGTTTTTTTTGAATATTTTAAGTTAATATTTTAAAGTTACAAAACTTTTTAAAGTTACAAAAAATAAAAAAATAAAAAATCATAAACCAAGAAATTTTTTGATATAAAGAATACTTTTGAAATTTTAATTATAAAAAGTTCTTTTTGAAATTTTAATTATAGAAAGTACTTTTTAATAAAAAGTACTTTTGAAGTTATAATTATAAATAATTTAAATTTTAAAAAGTTGTAAATTTTTAACTTTCTCACAAAGAAAAATATTTTAACTTTATTATTGACTTCATTTATTAGAATTGTTGTGATAAAAGTTTCATCCAAAATTTTAACTGTTTGTTATTGACTTTAAAATTAATCAAAAATGCTTGATATAAATACAAGTTTTTGAATTAATAATTTTTTAATAAATAATATTAATTTAAAATATATAATAATATTTTTTAGCTCAGTTCACAATCTCCTTATATGGAAGAAATGGTTGGTGAACCATACAGCTACACAGTTGATGTAAAAAATGAGACTTTATTTCGACAGATCCTGGAGATGATTAAAAATAGGGAGGTATCTATAATTGACTGTAAATTTGTTTAATAGATTGTTTTTTCTATTAAAAAATTGCCTAATTGCTATTATTTTTAATTTACTGTGTAGGATCTTCCTCCCAAGATTCCTAAAGAGTTTACAAGTTATGGAATGCTAGAGCGAATACACATTTTTACAGAACATATGGTACATCAAAGTTAGCTGATATATTAACCTTATTATATAGTACATTCATTAATGATATAAATCATTTGTGATATAAATCATGAGCAATTAGTTCAAATAACTCTTGTAATTTTATGTATAATTTTATTCACTGTTGTATTTTTTTCTTTAGTTATTTTTTTTATTAACACTTACACTATTATAAACAATTTTATTTATATTATTATTAATTTTTTAGACATATTAACTACTCTTTAAAACAGCAGTAAAATAAAAACTGATAAATATATTATAAAGAAATCAATACACAGCTGTTTAAAGCACAAGCCCTAATCAATATCAAAAAAATATCTTTACAATCTTACTAAAAGTTGTTTTTCCATCTGATTACAATACAAAAAACAATGTTTAGCAGTAATAAAAGTATAGGTAAAAAGTGTGAATATACTGATAATTGTATAGAAAAAACGATTCTCAATACAGAAAGTACAAATAAAACTATTTAAAATATTTATCATGCGACAAAGTCACATGGCATAAGTATGTACAAGCCAGACTGAAAAAATTAATAATTTAAGACTTTGCACAAATGTCCATTTGTGCAATTTCCAGTTGCCAAACTGTTGTTGAACTGGACAATAAACAGACAGATTTGATAACCATGTGACAATATAATATACCATTATAATAACATTACAATATAACAATTATCAACATCTACATATGAATCCACAGAAGAAAGTGTTTATATATATTTAACTTATATTTAATTTTTTTAATACTAATTGATGCTTATTGATACTAATTGAACATAGTAGCATAAAAATAGTGCATCTTTATTTGAAAAGTATATGTATAACATGTATGTATAAAAAATGTTTGAATTATTTGTAATACTTTATACAACAATGTTTGAATTATTTTTACAATTATGCAATTTTACAATTATACAACGATGTTTGAATTATTTGTAATACTTGAGTTGTGATAATATTTGTTGTGTTGCTTTATCTTTCTACTTCATTTTTTTATTGGCTTTCATAATTTAAATTTTTTGTTTGTTTTTTAATAGTAAAAGATATTAGAATTTTGTTTGAACAAATCTTTGTAATTTTAGGATTTTTGTGATGCAACAGCTCCAAGATGGCCTCCAATCCAGCATATTAAAGTTTATATGGCAGAACGCGGCCAATCTTGTAAAGATGCATGTTTTAAAAAAGGTTTTTTTTTCCCTCTCTTTATGTTACCAAGCAATTATTATTGTCATTTTTATATATCTATTATTAAGAGTTAGAATTACATAACAAAAAAATTGCAGAAGTCATTCAATAAAAAGTATTAAACTCATTTATTAAAAACAATTTACAAAGAAACAAGGTTAAAATAACTAAACTTCCTTAGTTTGTTTTCATAACATTTATGATAGTTATCAAATCGAAAACAGTTTTTCTGCAAGACCAAGAGCATTTTTAAAAAATTATTTTAGTATTAAAACTTCATTAATACTTATTTGAGTCATTTAAATAAAAAAATCTTTGGTTTGTTGAAGTTTTTACTTGCTCTTGAGTCCTTTTAAAAAAAAGGGGGGGGGGGTAGGCATTTAATAAAATTTGGAAAATTTTCCCACCCACCCCAAGCTTTTTAAACCCCCTCCCCCCTTCTTATTATTTTTACTTGTTATTAAAAAAAGTAAGATTTTCAGTCACTGATAAAAACAAAAACTTTCAGTGTAAACAGGCTTTAAAAATCGTCGACCAAGTAAATCTTATTTTGTCAAAAATGAGCTTTTGGTTTATTTCTCACTAAACTATAAAACTTATATTAGCATAATAAATTTTATTGAAATTATTGTAAAAAAGCTGTTCAAAAATGCACATTTGACCTCAAGCCACGTCAGAATTAAATAGTTTTATGCGTGTTTTGTAAAAAATATTAGTTTGAATTTATAAACTAAAATTTTTTATAAAAAATACTTATATTGTAACATAAAAAAATTCCCACCCCCTTCCTTTTATCAACCCCCCATCCCCCTCCATTTATTAGATATGGACTAAAATTACCCCCTCCCCCTTTATTTTATTAAGGACTCAAGAGTACACTTCTTACATATACGCATATTGCCTTGTTTTCATTAGGCTGAATTTTTAAAATGCTGCAAAGTATTTATATCTAATTAAATATTTTTGACCTAAAAACTGCTATCACAGTTCTGTAGGGAAGTTCAGTTCAGGAGGGGGTTCAGGTATATGTGATCGTTTGTGACAGGAGTGAAGGGATTAAGAATTGAAAAAAAATAGGGTGGGGTGCTTTATGGATGACCCTTCTTAGTTGCATTTACAAATGATTTGTTTTACTAAAATGAAAATAAAAAAGGTTCTAACTTATTTTTTTGATATTAGGAGAATAGCAAATAAATCTTTTTTTTGTCTAAATAAAAAATTTATATAATTCTTATTTTTATTTATTTATGTATATTTATATGTCAACCAAAATAAGGGTGCATAAACAAATAAAAAACAATAATATAAATAATTTTAATTACCATTAAAAAAAAAAATTTTTTATCTAAATTCTCCTATTATAAAAAGTTTCAGTAAGAATCTTGTCAAACCAACATGATAAAATAAGAATTACTTAATGATATAATTCATTTGTTAATGAAATATATATATATATATATATATATATATATATATATATATATATATATATATATATATATATATATATATATATATATATATATATATATATATATATATATATATATATATATATATATATATATATATATATATATATAATTTATTCAACAATAAACATAATATTGTACTCACAAATTCAGTATAACACACAATGCAATGCAAATTACAGCAGAAATTAATATTTAGTATGCCATTGATGTGCATTGACTCGATAAGCTTGGTAACGGCATCCAGAGGAATAACTGACCAAGCAGCCTCCAGTTTCATCCAAAGTTCATCAAATGTCTTTGGTTTACTCTCTTTGACTGCTTGGAACAAAGTTTTTCATAGGTTCTCAATAGGGTTCATGTCTGGACTCTGTGGTGGCCTGTCTAAAACGTCGATATGATGGCGGGCATGAAAATCAATCACCTTCTTCACTTTTTGGCATGGAGCATTGTCATGTTGAAAGGTAAATACTCCATTTTGTTCAAAAAGCTTTCTGGCAGATGGAACCATGGACTGGCTGAGAATTTCAATGTATTGGTGTTGATTCACTGACCCTACTCATGGATGGAATTGCCCTACCCCCATACCAGACATGCAACCCCACTTCACTGTTGCTTCAACTGTGGAACAACAACCTGCTTCACTGTTGGAACAACACACTCCCGATGATGTCGTTCACCTGGTCTTCGAAGTACAAATGTGCGCTTGTTACTGCAAAACAATTTTTTCCACTTTTTTCCACATAGCCACTATCCAGTCGCAATGTGCACTAGCAAATGCCAGTCGTTTCTTGCAGTTCACTTTCGATAACAGCGGTTTTTTCACAGCAACACCCCCACCCCCTCCTTCCCCCCGCAGATTAGCCTCGCTTAATTGCCAATGAACTGTCTGACCCCCAAGTGAAATTCTGTGGTCCCCTCAGGGTTTTTGTGGTTTTTGATCTCAAATCAGGCAAGGTTAACCTTCAATTTGCAATTGATATCATCACCAGGATCCTGTCCTTATGAACCGAAGTCTTCCTTAGGCATCCGGATCGCTGTTTGTCCTTCACAGAACCCACAGTTTTGTATTTTTTTAGAATCTGCTGGACTCCCCCATGAGAAATTTCCATTTTCTTGGCCACTTGTCTTGTAGACATCCCATTTTCTGACATAAATACAACCGGTAGACGCTCCTTTTCAGACAAACGATAATAAGCTGACATCTGAAAGATGCAAAATGTAGCTAATTAGGCGATTAATATAATTAATAAATATTATTTTAAAGCAAAATCAACTAAAGTAATGCAAATGTGAAGCTGTGCAAAGCTTAATTTAGCAGTAATAGTAAAAAAATCATTTTATTTAATACAAGTACCAATTTAAAGTTGCATAATAGCCAAGCACTGTTAGACCATCATAAAGGGACTAAAAACTAATAATTAGCTGTTTAAAATTGCTTAAACTGGCACTAATCATATGTTTTTCTAGAATGTTCTACTCTAATTTCATTTATATGCAATAGCTAGTAATCATTATAACATGAACCTAAAGTTTTCTATTATACAAACTAAAACCATTCTTACCTTTAATCAAATTCTTACCTTTAATCAAATGCACGTTTACTATGGAAACAATCAAAGAATATTGATTAGCCTAAGAGAAATTCACAAATAAATTAAGATATTACTGTGCAATTTTTTGCAATAATGTTTTACAACACAATTTCGTATTTTTTTAAGGTGGATACTTATGGTAGGGTACTGTATATATATATATATATATATATATATATATATATATATATATATATATATATATATATATATATATATATATATATATATATATATATATATATGTATGTATATATATAAATATAAATATATATATATATATATATATATATATATATATATATATATATATATAAATATAAATATAAATATAAATATAAATATAAATATATATATATATATATATATATATATATATATATATATATATATATATATATATATATATATATATATATATATATATATATATATATATATATATATATATATATATATATATATATATATATATTAGGGTGTCCCAATTTTAACCTGACCAAAGAAATTTCACATGCACCCTATCTCAATTATTCTTATTTGGTGCACCAAAAAAAATTTTAGGTCTTTAAATCAAAGGTATCCAGTACAAGGTATTTTTATATGCTAGGTTACATGGAATTATTCGTCCCCCTTCCTCTCGGTGCCCCTAATTTATGGATTGAATAGTAGAAGATTGTCTATTTTACATATATTTTTTTTTCTTGGAAAAAAAAAGTTTCATTTAAGAGGTAATACTTGTACATATTGGTCATTTAAAGACAAATAAAGTCAAAAATCACTTAAAAATTTCATTTTAATGTAGATTTTAGACATATAATGAGACAGATAATGACATAGACATATAATGAGATTTTTAAACAAAAATTGAAATACTATGTCTTTGATGAGTAAACAGATAGTCTTGATTCAAATATGTTGTTTTGCGATAATTTGTCATTGTTTTAGTTGCATTTATTCTCTATTCAAATAATTGTTTTTATGTAAAATATTACAAGACCCTTACATTTTATACTTTTCAGATTATAACAAATTTCTTAAAATATATAATGGCCAATGATGAAGATGGGTTTCCTTGTAAATCTGCAAGGACTAGAAATGGTTGGAGTACTGTAAGAGAGAAAAATGAGGAAAGCTCCTTGGTTACTACACGTTTCAGAAGTCCTACTCCAATGAGATATACCTCTCCTAGGACTAGCAGGGATTGTTAACCAGGAACCTCAAGTACATCCTTTAACATAAATTTAGCTCCACAGAGCACTAATAGGTGTAAAAGAACAATCTACATACTTCAGTATCCACTACACATGTTTGCACCAAACAGGTATTATTTTAAAATTTAATTAAAATAATGAATTAGAAAAGCTTTTTTTAGGTAAAAACTTTTGAAACAATTATGTAAAGACTTTTTTTGAATTTTTTTTTTAGACTACCCACACTGGGAGATGTTTGTCGTAGAATATATTGGCTCAGAGCAAGTAAGAATAATGCAAAACTATCCTGTGCACAAAAGACAATGTCAAGACCTATGCTTTGCATTAATGGGGAGTGTACAAAAAGTAACAGGGGAAAATTTACTGGAGTATGCATTTTGAGAGAACTGTTAAGTCTTTGGGACAAGGGTGGATTTGATTCAAAATTTCGGGTTACAGAACAAGTAGGGGGTTGTCCATTTATTACATCAACAAAATAGGGGGAGGGGGATCTGAACTTTTTTGACAGTTGTTGACAAGGGGAAGGGGGAAGGTCAATCTAAGTTGATGTCAATAATTTTTTTTTATGTTTCATTAGTTAAATAACGGAAATTTTGTAGCGTAGCTTCTTTGTATAGGGGGGTCGGGTATTCAAAAAATGACGTAATTTTGTAAGGAGGGGGGGGGGTCTCTAGAAATTTGACAAATTGTTGACAAGGGGGAGGGGGAGGTAAAAATTTCAAAAAATTTGTTGACGTTATTAATGGACAGCCCCTAGTGAAGAAGAAGCTTGAGAAATCTTATGAACGCTACAAGAAACTGTGTAGTCTTAGAACCCTTATGGAAATAAACAAGATCAAAGAAGAGCAATATAAAATAAAAACAGAGAGTTTTATAAAAGAAGCAAACTGTTTTTTTCCTGTTTATAAAACAGACATCTTAAAACTTATAAGAGATGGCAAAAATAAAGACAAGCAAGCAAAGACAGAAGATATTGAGTTCCTTAAGAGAGCATTCAAAGGAGAAATGGTTAAGTTTGACACTGGGAAAGATAAATCTTATCAAGAAAAAATCATAAATGGGGAAAAAGGAATGTTAGATATGATAGAAAGTATGCGTAGAGAAAAACAACATAAAAAGGAAAAACAAGAAATGTAAAAGAAAAAAGCTATAGAGGACATTAAAAGATGAAAGATTCTGAGATAGAACTATTTTCAAATGGTACGAGTGCCACTGATACTGACAGTGATTTTGAGCCTTGCCAAAAAAAAAAAAGAAGATCAGTAAAGATAGAGTTTACATTGAGCTTTCAATGAATGATGTTCTTGACAAGTGGATTCCTTTCTTGACTAGGTACAAGGTCAGTGTTCGAGCTGAAACTTCACTTCTTTCCTCACTTTTCAAGGTTGGTGGTGTTGATCTAAATACAGTTCCTGTATCAAAGAGTAGTCTACATAGAAACAAAAAGACTGTGATTGAAAATAAAGCTAGAATAGTGAGAGAATCTGTCATAAAACTGGTCAAACACTATCTAACTGACCAAAAAATGTTTGAAACTGTAGAAAGGCTTGCTCTCAGTATATCATCCCCCCTGGTCAATGAACCCTTAGATTTTTTGCAAGAAGCTCTAGAAATTAAGTCATCTAAAGGGCAGGATCAAGCTATTCAGAACATATAGAGTATTATGAACTCACTGAACAGATCATTGGGTGTAGTGCTGATACAACCGCCTCTAATTCTGGAAAATACAAGGGGGCAATTAAGTTCTTGGTGGATCATGTACTTAAAAGACCTGTGCTATGGCTGCTCTATTTGTAATTAAATTATTTTGATAATATTTTAAAAGTTTGTCACACGAAACTGTTGCAAAATTATTACATTTTATATCCTTTGAAAGTTGATCTTTATAGGCACCATATATCTTAAAGGCATATTTCCCATGCAATGGATTATATTAAAGTTTCAACAAAATCTCCATTGCGTGCAATGTATAAAGATTTTCAAAAAGACTGGCCAGAAATAAGAGAAAGGGCAAATAATGTTGATCAGTTTCTTTTTTTCAATTATGGGAGAGAGGATACTGGTTTTCATAGAAGGGTATTAGATACTAAGAACTTCTGCATAACAGCCCTAAAACAAGATTGCTTGCTTACAATGCAGCTGACTTCAAAGATTAATTTAATGCTGAATAAAAGTGAGAAAGATATGCTTGAACTGTCAACTGACTTTATTGTCACATTTTATGGAGCATACTTTTTAAAATCTCCTATGGTGGCCCAGGCTCCATCACACGATTTGGATGCTTTTAAGCTAGCTTATGAAATGATGAGCAATAAGCTATATATATCTAAGTATGGCTTTCTGGGAAAGCTGCTCCATGCAAGCCAAGGAAAGAGCTGGATAGCTCAGAAGCTGCTTGGTTTCAATTGTCCGCAACCTGATGATTTTGAAAAAGAATAACCTCAACCTTCAACTGATGTGGTTCCCATATCAGTTTTGTCTGACTTTATCACTAAGGTGTCCTGGCTGCTCTTAACATACCTAGGTATAAATACAGGAGTAATCAACACATGGATAAAGGATAACTTTAAAAGTGATTCCTACAAACATTTTCAACATCAGATTGAGAATCTAGAAGTAGTAAATGACAGAGCTGAGCGCCACATAAAACTTGTGCAAGATTTTATGGCTGAAAGTCATGAAGAAGGTCTTTCACAGGATACATTGCAAGTTGTGCAAAAAAACTGAAAAGAGGTTGGAAAAGACATGAAAAAAGTGATTTTATGTAATTTTTATGTGATTTTTGACTTAATTTGTCTTTAAATGACCAATTTGTACAAGTATTACCTCTTAAATGAAAGATTTTTTCCAGAACAAAAATAAATGTAAAATAGATAATTTTCTACTATTCAATCCATAAATTAGGGCCACCGAGAGGAAGGGGGCAAATAATTCCATGCAACCTAGCATATAAAAATACCTTGTACTGGATCCCCTTGACTTAGAGACCTAAAGTATCTTTTGGTGGTCCTGGGACCAAATAAGAATGATTGAAATAGGGTGCATGTGAAATTTTTTTGGTCAGGTTAAAAGTGGGACACCCTAATATATATATATATATATATATATATATATATATATATATATATATATATATATATATATATATATATATATATATATATATATATATATATATATATATATATATATATACATTTATATAAATATATATATATATATATATATATATATATATATATATATATATATATATATATATATATATATATATATATATATATATATATATATATATATATATATATATATATATATATATATATATATATATATATATATATATATATATATATATATAATGACGCAGTCTTGCCATTAAAACAGGAGCTATATCCTGCACAAACATTTATTTTTAAAAAGTTTCAAAACTTATCCATAGTAGGTATAAAGCTATATCCTGCACAAATTTTTATTTTTAAAAATTTCAAAACTTATCCGTAGTAGGTATAAAAACTCCCATATATTTAAACCTTTATTCTAATGAAAATTCATTTCTTATATTATTTGCTTTTACTATTGTTTTATTGAAAATTTGTTAAATTTTAATTGATTTTTATAAGAATAGTATATTTTAAAAAAATTGCTAGTTGATTTTATATTTTATTAAGAGCACAAGAAATTTTGTAATTTTAAAATAAAAAACAAAATCTCTCTTGAGCACAAAATGAAGAAAGTTTTAGCTATACTGGAAAAATATAACATAATGTGGTTTCTCCTAAAGAGATTTTTATGCTGTTGTAAATAATAGTCTAAATTTGTAATAACGATAAGCAGTAAGTGACCCGCATAATACTTTACTTATTGCTTGTGGTTGTGGTATTTAAAAATACCTGACAGTTTAGTAATAACCTGAGGGTTAGGCATTATTTATCTGAAGTGGCATAAAAATACATTCACTATATAAGAGTGTTACATCTTCAAGTCACTGTTTAAAAAATAGTTTTAAAAAAATACATTAAATCACTCAATTTACATAATTAACCATAAATCCAGTTTTATAATGTTAATTTTTTTACCAAAAACCATATAAACCATTATTGTGTTAAATAAAATATCTTGTAATGTATGCTCATTAAATTTAAAAAACAAGTTACATGTATCAAAGCAAATAATATTTTTAGTTCTCTGTAACAAGACTTTGTGGTCTTCTTTGATTTTTTTGCATTTTTTTAATCCTTATTTTATTAAAAAAATCTTTGTAGTAGTTATATAAATTTAAGAAGTGTATATATGTTTTGAATAAAATAGTAATTATATAATATCATTTTTGGTTTTATTGTTAAAAATAAATTTATGTTTTAGGTTTAGTTTGTGAAAGAACATTTTTTGTTGACATTGATACAAAGCAATCTATAGAAAGGTTTGTTTTTTACTGAATGTTATTAATTTATTATATATCAATGATTATCAACAAACGTTTACTTTTTACTGAATACTGTTACTTAATCAAATATCAATTATTATTAACAGATATTTGTTTTGTCTGAAAATTACTATATTTTTATTAACTAAAATTAATTTATTTGAACTAAAAAATCTGACAGACTAATAGTTTATTTATTTATTTTTTAAACTAATTCACAATAATAATGAACAAAGCCACTATTAAGTTGGGAGTTACAAGAAAAGTGCAAGGAAACAATTGACAGAAGACCTAAAAAGTTGAGTTGTATGAGTCAGAGAAACATAAAGATGAAAAAAAACTGGATAAATAAAATTTTTAAAGCATGAAGGGACAGATACAGTAAAAAGATGTGACTTTGCTGAATGGAATTATGGTTTATAATTACATTTGCTAAATTGGTTGATGGAACTAGAGATGAATGCTTGTTTGAGCAGCAAATAGTATTTGCAGAAATGAGAAAAACATGTAACCTTACCATGATGAGAGAGTGGGTTAAGCTTGCCAGATTAAATAGAACCTTTACAATGCGTTTTCAGACCTTGCCAAAAAGAACAACAACATCAGATAAACAAGCCCAAATAAGATAACATTATTCCACACAGGATAAAATAAGAGATCTGTAGAGGTAGAGTAAGATAATGGTGATTATATATATATAGTTTCCATGAATAGAGTACTCAGTAAGATGGTTGCCAATCATCATTATAAGAATGTCAACAAGATTGTGATATGCAGTAAACAATTGGATTTTGTTGGATTTAAAATTCACAAGCCACCACTAGCCTAGTGATCAAGCTGTTACAGAAAAGAGATCAGATTCAAAATCGACTGCCTGTTCTAAGTGATCAAAAATATACTTTTTTTTATAACGGGATTATAAAGGTGAGTCGTCAGTAAATAGAGACACTTTAGATAATCATGAAAATTAGTAATGAAGAAACAAAGGATAGAATTGTGGTACCCAAGAATTAATGGAAGAGTGTTGACCTTTGATGATGACTTTAATACTTTCGTTGAAAAGAAATGAAATGATTTGTTGTCTAGAAATGATAAGGAAGAACAATTTGCAAAGATCTTTACCTCTTTTATTTTATTTATAATATATATACTAGTATATATATATATATAATAATATATATATATATAATTATATATATATATATATATATATATATATATATATATATATATATATATATATATATATATATATATATATATATATATATATATATATATATATATATATATATATATATATATATATATATATATATATATAATAATATATATTTTAAATTAGACTCTTGAATCTAATGGCCATACCTTTACATACAAGCCCTTGAAGAGTTTAATTGAGATATGACTTTAGCAATGGAAGCCAGTGTGACTTGGGTGTCTAGCAATTGGTTACTCTGTTTAATTGGTATGACAAGAAAATTATGGCCATTAGATTCAAGATCTTTACCTCTAATTAGAGTCTAATTAGAGGTAAAGATCTTTGCAAATTGTTCTTCCTTATTATTTGGAGGGGTAATTAGATCAGACCCATGAATACAGAGATTGTTCGAATTTGTTAATGACACTAATAAAGATTTTTTTTTTTTTTTTATTTTTATTTTACTTCACCTCCTCAAGGCTGAAAAGACCACTACAGACGAGGAGGCTACTTATTTTGTGACTATAACCCTCTCTCAACTCTATAACTCCGAAACACGAACCTTGACGAACAAGGCCGCTGCGCGGAGAGACGAGTTGAGCGCGGTACTACCAGGGACGTGGTGGGGATCGAACTCGGAACCACTCGTTTTTTTCATTTAATATAATAACATCTAAAACCTAACTTCTGAGATGAAATACATAGTTTTGTAAATTGGGAATAATGGAATAATTCATTAGACAGCATCTTTTTATATTCGTAATGGCATGATTGGTCATAGAAGTTGGGTGTATCATTTTAAACAAAATTTAGATTTTACTTATAAATAAAGAAAATTTCTCAAAAGTTTTTTGTATTATGATGCTAGCTACCTCAACTCTCTACTAATGTTTTGATGTAAGATTCCCTTCTTTCTACTGTGTGGACATGTCCTGCAGCTTTTGTAATCATCTGTACACACCTCTTAACTGATTGTGTATGGGAACATCATTGGGAAACAACCATAGGGCTGTTAATAAAATCTTTAATAGCAGCATTTGTAAGATTGCATGTCAATGGTGGCTCTAACATTATTGTTCCATTCAATGAAGCTATAAAGACTCTTGTTTACTTATTGTTCCATTCAACAAAACTATGAAGACTCTCAGTATCATTGTTAATAGCAATAGTCTATAATGACCACCATTTTGCTTGTAATCATTTCCATAGAGTTGAAGAATAATTTTCACTTTGTAGTATAGTATTTATTATTAAGTAGAAACAATTCCAGTTTGTAATATAAATATTATTTATATTACAAATCAATAAAATCTGTTATTAGTATTTATTATAAACTCAAAATACATGTAAGATTTTGAAGGTTGACACCAGATAGCCCTTGCAGAGAAACCCATATTCTGGAAAATTTTAGTGCTATTTCTATGATTGCAAACTGTTTAAGGAAATTACTAGACCTTATTGTTTTGGTAAGCAAAGCTTTGATCAGTACTCAAACAACATTTTCTGGTCTAAAAACAAATAACGGAGGGCCAATATCAATCTTTGTAAAAAAAACTGATTTTAAAATATGCAGCTTAAAATATACATAAGTCAAAAATCACATAAAAATTACATAAAATCACTTTTTTTCATGTCTTTTCCAACCTCTTTTTAGTTTTTTTGCACAACTTGCAATGTATCCTGTAAAAGACCTTCTGCATGACTTTCAGCCATAAAATCTTGCACAAGTTTTATATTATAAATATTATAATATGTTTTATAAAATATATTTTAAAATATGCAGCTAAAAACTGATTTTAAAATATGCATTAAAACAAAAGAATAAATACATACAAAAAAAAACTAATTTTTTTATTTTAGTCGAAGCTCGTCTACTCTGTTTTGTTGAAGGCCAAAAAGTCAGCATAATATTTGCTGCAATCTACAGGCTTGATAATTTATTCAAGCGTGTTTTATTCCTAAGAGTTTTATACATGGCATCATTGATTTTCTTGTTTGTTTACATCATCGATCTTTTACACAAACAAAAAATCAATGATGTCATGTAATAAAACTCTTAGGAATATAATGCGCTTGAATAAATTATCAAGTCTGTAGATTGCAGCGTTCATTATACTGACTTTTTGGCCTACAACAAAACAGAGAAGACAAGCTTTGAGTACAATAATAAATTTAGTTTCTCTTGGTATTCATTTATTCTTTTGTTTTAATCAAATAAATTTAGCCCAAACATTTTTTTTATTATTTTTTTAATATGAATACAACATGTCTTGGAGGTTTGGGATCCCTAAGTATTCATACATTTACTTGATTATTTTATTTAATAAAAAAATTCTATAAGTAAATGTTTAACTTCTGCTAAGAAGTTATGCTGAATTTTTTGATTGATCTTCTCTTCTTTCCTCTAATTCGCAACAATGCTTCTCTTTTTTTTTTCTATAACTTATTTTATTTTTGTTGACACTTATGTCAACACTACATATATAGTAATGTGCGAAACTACTCAAATCTCCCTATGGCTTGATAAAGCTGAGTTCTAATACAGGATTTTTATTTTCTTGCACACACATGCATTTAACATGCACTTGTATTTTACAGTCATGATTACAACCATACTCTGAACAAAATATTGTTTTACATTTGCAAGATAAAATCTCAACACATTTTGTTTACTTTTTGAATGAACTTATCCTTTATTAATTTTTTAACATTTCCTAATTTTAAATGCAGTTACCCAAAGATACTTCAATTTAGCTTTAATACTGAATTCTTAAATTATTACTGAATGTACAAATTTGCAATTTTGGATGATTGAATTATTACTTGCAATTAACTTTTGAAATTAAATTAAGGAATATCAGTAACTAGTTTATCAACTGTTTTTTTTATTTTGATCACTTATCTTTCTCAAAATCCTATATTGCAAAATTGTTGCTGATAGTACAACATTCTTAAGTCCATTTTTGGCAAAATTAACTTTTTTGATTTAAATTACTCACTAGGTGCACTAAAGTCATCTCTCAAATTATGAAACCAAAATGGGTTTAACTTTTGCAACTATGAGTAAAATTCAAATATCTTATGTCCTATAAAAAAAGTAATTAAGAGACGTTGCGGCAAAACAAAACTATTATAAGTCCATTTTTTGGCAAAATAAACTTTTTTTGGTAAACAAGTAAATTTAATAAAAAAAATCAAAACCAGTGATTAAATGCAAAACATTAAATATCTTTTTCTCAGAACAGCCAAAGCGGACTTAAGATGGTCTTGTTTTGGAGCAGCAATTTAATTTGTAGAAGTTTGTAATATTTTATATAAAATTATCTTAAGTCCATTTGCATTGTTGGTTCTCATAAACTTAAATTTTTTATTTTTTATTTGTTATATTTTGAAAAATAATAACATATTCTATAAGTATTTTAAAAACAATTGGGTTTAATTAAGAAGATCAAACACAGTGAAGAATTAAAAACTTTAAATGCTTTTTTCTCAGAAGAGCAAAAATGAACTTAAGATCTTGTTTTGCAGCAACAAAGTATTCCTTGCAGTAGTTGCGAATTACAGGTTTTTTTTTTCAAATTCTGATTCACTCCCAACAAGGCTGTAAACAACCACTATTGAGTTTGGAGTTACTCTTCTTCCAATAAATCTGTTTAAGTGAATAGTTGATTATTTATTGTTTGTTTTTTTGGTGCCAGTTAATTTTACTTAAATAATACTTTCCATGAATTAAAGCGGATGTAGGGACAAAAACCATCCTTTTCCCCACCCTTTTTTCCATCCCCACTCTATACCCATCCAGTTTGTCCCATCCCCACCCTACCCCTATCAATAAAGCTATTTTTACTTACCAATAAACTGTATCCGAATAATAACTTATGTAAAAATTTTGTATCTAACCATTTTTTATTAGTTTTTATTAGTTCATAAATTAAAACTGTCCTTGGTTCAATTATATTGTGACGCATATCTATTCTTTGTTATAATAACTTCATTATCTATGTTAAATTTTGTGTTTCTTAACTATCATATTTACCCTTGTTACTGCTAAAATTGCAAAGCCAATTATTACTGCTACCACAGTATAACCATAGTTTTACCATATAATTAAAAATTACCATGGTAATATCGCTGTGACTGCAGTAGTACAGCAATACCCATAACTGTGTTGCTCTCTACCATAAATCTCCTGCAATAGCAGTAATGAAAGATTTTTGACTAGTTTCACTAGTTGCTCATTTTGATGACAAAGTATTGCCATATGTTCATCGAACCAGGCATGAATGTCTGTTAATTGTTGCATCTGGCTTGGATATTGAGAAATTGTTAGGGATCTTTGAGGTACTTCCTGGTACTAGTGCTTTGATGGGGCAGAAGGTAGTTGATTTTGTTCATCAGTGGTCTAGCAATGACCTGCAAGAAACATCTTGCAAGAATTTGCTTTGAAACGACTGCAAGTAATATTAAGTCATAATGAGGTAATCTCTGTCTATCAGAAGTCAATGAATCGAAGAGTTTTGTTTTTAGCCTGACAATATAAAATCCTTGAAGTCCTTGTTTAAAAAGGACTAAACATTGAACTTTTTAATAGAGTAATCTACCAGCGGGAGTTCGAAAAACCTCAGTTTTTTTAAAATTCACAAGCCACTGCCACTTCCAATTGCGTTTTTTAGAAATTTAGGGATTTTTAACTAATTGTATGTATGTTTCTGTTTTTCTTACCCCTCTTCACAACAAAAAACCCCCAAAAATTATCTTCTTATTTTAAAGGAAATCGAAAACTATTCTCAAGTTTACAAATAAATTGCAAATGTTGCAAAAAATAATTTATTTTTTGCAACATTTGCAATTTAAGTCATTATTTAAGTAAAGAAGCAGTACTACTATTATTTATTAATGAAAGTTCTGTTGAAGAGAAACTGAAAATTGTAAATGTCATATAAAAAGAATCATAACCAGGTTACAAGAGAAGATCAAAACAAGGCTTCTGCTTTCTCTTATCACTTTATAGCTTTGTCACACAATGCTCAACGAAATTTTTTGACTCTCCTAATTTATCAAATAAATTCTTGAAATTGTATTCAAACATTTGAGCTATTTGTGATGTTAGCTGCAAAGTTTTTCAGTATATTTTAATTCAGTTATATTTTAAGGTTTGATTTAATGATGTTTTTTTATTTCATCCACGTAATTTTAAAATGTTTGTATTATGTTTTCTTAAAAACAGACGATTCTTTTGAAAATTTTATTTAAGTACATTTTTTTAATTGTTATTTTGAAATTTCTCTCTGATTTATTTTTAATATTTTTTATAATTATTGATTTGAATATAACTCACTTTTTTATGGATGAAAAACTCTATCAGCAATAAAAAAACATACGAGTGCTCTTATATCTTTTTTCTTTTGTCTATCAATAGAACTATTTTATTACCACAAGTTTTGTCTTCTTCGTCAAATGCTGTCATTTGTATTGTTTTTTTATTTGGCGATGGTCTTAGAGAAAATCTGAGATCTGACTATTGATGTAACTGGAGATATTTTTTTTTTAAACTAAATCTACATCTGATGCAGCATTATTAAACAAAGATGACACTTAATTAGTGAAACTCTGAAGTTGAGATGTATATAAAAAAAAATTTAAGTTCTGTTTCTTTTTTCGTTTCATTTTTTTTTTTTTAATTCTTCTCAAGTTCAAGATTTATTAGATGCAAATATACTTTTTATTAATATCTTTTGATAATGAAGTAAAAAAAATTTTATATTTTTTCTTAATTCCTTTTTTCTATCGTCGAACAAGAGTTAGTTAATTCATAAAGCATCAAGTGTTTTTTATTATTTCCCTAGTGATAAATAAGCATAATTGTCATAGTATCACGGGGATTGAAGCTAAACTCGCATATGATACATCTAATGTTCTACTTCTACGAAAATTTTGAATTAAATATTTCCTTTTAAATTACATTTTCCTAAGCTGTGTTAAAATTTATTAGATATTAAGTCAAACAATATTTTAAAAAACTACCAATATCTATAATATTATTTTAATATAGTCTTTTTTATTTTACTACCTATGACCTTACTAATCTTTTTTTTAGTTTTTAACATTAAAATATTCTATTCAATCATAGCTGAGTAATCGATAACCTACAATGTACTAAAGTTAATATACCCTAGGCTATACTCTAGATCCGCGCTTGAATGTACTAAAGTTAATTTCGAACAATAAAATATTCTAAACAGTTATAGCTTTTAATAAATTTTATTAACATATTTTTTTGTTTTGATTTTTAGAAACGGTAATCTACAATGCACTAAGGTGAGCGAGGTATACGCTTTGCACGCACCTTCTTTCGACCCATTAACAAATATTTGTTTTGTTCAATCCCACGGCCAACTTTACAGTTGCATGCACGAGGCGGAGAACGTAAAACGTTTATGCCCATGTAGAGATTTTGAATTGGAACAGGTGCAATTGTGTAAAGATTGTCTATGAAATATTGTTATATATTTTTTGTATAGATTTTTTATGTCGTAGGACACAGGACGCGCAAGAGAAAGATTATAAATACATTCTCTTTGACATGTAGTCGAAGAGAATGTATTTATCTTTCTCTTTTTTTACAGCTTATTTTTTAAATAGCTTAATACTTCCCAATATTAATAGAGTTTACTTTTATTAAAAGAATGTTAAAAGAAACAACCTTTAATGTTTAAAATTGTGTATTTTATGAAATTACTTTTTAACTTTTATGTAAAAATTTTTGTTTATAAAAATTTTTAAAAAGTCTATTAAAAATCTTTTTAATTGTTATTATTTCAATATTATGAAACTAATTTCTAAAACTAGTTTATTGCATTCAAATTGTAAACTTAAGCTAGTATTTAACCATTTGATTTTCTATTTTTAATTTTATACTTGAAGGCGGTCTAGAGTTCCTTCGTTTTATGCGTAATACCAGATGCGTAATACCAGATGCGTAATACCAGATGCGTAATACCAGAGATCCAACGGAGTTGGATAAAAAATATATCATTTATCCAGGCGAATCCAAATTTAACCAAGTCGATAGGCAGAATAATAAGAAGCGCGTTTAAAAAATTGTCGTCATTAAAATTTCCTGTATAAACTTTTACGACTAGTACATACAATGCTATGTAATATCTATGATTCAGCCTAAACGCAGTCTGATTAAATATGAGGTCAATAAAAAAGTCTTTCCGCTCTTACTCTAGTTGATGAATGTTAACGAGAAAAATAAGTGAATCGTACAAGCGGTAATAAATTTAAAAATAATTTAAAACCAATGTTAATGATTACTGCATTTGTCTAAATATACTTAAACAGTTAAAATGAAAGTGTATCTGCAATATTTTATCTTTCAAACTTATGTGAAAATTTTTTTGACAAGTTATTTCCTTTGTTTAGCCAACTCTATTGTTGCTAAAACAGGGTTTGATCCTCCATTAAATACTGCTAATTCTGTTTTGCTATACAACTTTACTTAGTCCAATAACTGAAGATTTTCCCTGTCATCTTGCGCAGTACAAAAATTTTGAATTTAAAAATATCTTGATAGCTATTTAAAAGAAATTCTAACGGTCTTATCTAGCCAAAAAGTTCACGGCTTCTTCTTTACCAATAGTGCATATATAGCTCGAGCCGGATTCAAACCACGGACTAATATAACACTAGTTCAATTAAAACAAGTCGAAGACGTAATTTAAAAATATATTCAAGCTGAATCTGCTAAATGGCCGGCCAAAATATTTGCTTTATATATAGCTTTATTTTCAGAAAAACAAAGTTCGGTCCAAAACGTCCGCAGTTTTTTAATTTTTTATGAAAAGTTTTTGAATTTATTGAATTAGGGCTATAGATATATATATATATTTATGTATTTTTGTATATTATGTATTTTTAAGTGAAAATATTTATCGTGTGTTTTTTTATAAAATCTGCTCTTTAAAAGCTATATAGATACTGAAATTCAATTTATTTTAAAAACTAGTACTAAAACTAGAAATAATCAGCTGGATAGACTAAATGACGGTTTCCCTAACTATCAATGTTATTACTTATAAAGATAAACTTTATTGGATCTCAAATTCCAGTTTACAACTATATGTCTAAATTACAGTTAAATAGTTGTTTTAAGCAAAACAGACATTAAAATCACTATTATTTAATGAAATATGTATATATTTACGACATCAGTCATCAGAAGATATATGTTGTAAACTGGAACTTTAGATATACACATTATGAACCCATGTGTGAATTTTTAGATCATAAGATGCATCATGGATGGAGTCTATCCACGAGTTTGATAGTAAATTAATTTATAGGTAAAAAGATAGTTCAGAAACCATTACTATAGCCCCGGACCCCGCAAATTTAGGGGCCCGGAGATTTTTTTTTTTCAGTCATTTTTAGGCTCTGGCCCATAAAAAGGCCTCCAAAAACGAAAATAGCCCCGCGCCCCAAAAAGTCTTAATACGCCACTGGCAACATCTCTCAAAAATAAAATGGCTGATTTAATTCCGATATCTAGGATGTTTGATCGTTGGTTTTGAAATAAATCACTGCCAAGTATTGATGGGTGTGTCGTAAAGATTGTCAAGACGGACGTCGAGGTGCCAATGTAACTATTACTGACGTATTTAACTCTCATGAAGTCAATCAATTCTATACAAATCTTCTCGACCTGTCTGGGTATCTGTAAAAGTCAACAATAAACATATACTTATCAAATTTATATATAGAACAAATGATGCTAGTTTATTAAAATGTCGCTGAACCCTTCAAATTAACTTATAGGTTAGTTAGGAAACCCTAAGATGCTGTCAAACGCTTAGGCGAAATCAAAGTACCTTGATTTTATTAGCTCCTTGTATCGTGGTCACCATTTTAAAATAAGGCGCGAGTATTTTCCAAACTGTCTTGCAAAATACAATTATTAGTATAACAGATCAGCAAAATACTTCAACGAACTACCTGAGCAAATAACTTTCTACTCCACTGTACAGTGGAGTAGAAGAGCCTTGTCCACTTTCTTTCGAAAGTGGACAAGGCTCCTGGTTGTGGAACAAATTTGAAACTAAAAATTTGGCAAAAAATTTGGGTCATTTTTGCTCCAAGGCTCAATCACTGATTGAGCTCCAAGGCTCAACCAGTTTTTCTTAAAATTTTTTTATTTGGCACAAAGATACTTAAGTTTGAAACATCAAAAAATCCTTTTGCTGGGCCAGAAATAGAAACAAATAAATAACTGCTTTTTTATTAGGTTTATGTTCACATGATATTATGCAGGTACAACTTTGCAAATCATTTAAATTAAAAACCAATTATAAAGGCATTAATGATATGAATGAAAAAAGAATCAGCATAAGTAACATCGTATAAAAGATTACATAATTAGCAATTAGGGAGTTGATAACTTTAAGCTAGCCTGGCACAAGCTGGCTCCATACTTTTGTGAGCAAATAAAAAACAAACTCACGCGTCAAGTTGGATAACTACTTTCTGCTGTGGACATTGTTGGTAAATTTTTGAGAAACTTACAGTTATTCAGTTTTGGGTGTTTGTTGTTCCCAGGTTAATCCCTGTAATTTTGCAAAGCATTCTGTTTTTAACATAAATAAAAACATAACTAAGATTAAAGTTTGCTTCATGTCTAAAAGTTATCTTTGTCAAACATAAAAAAAAACAACCGCAATCCATTTTTTTGTTAAACAATCAAGTTTTATTGCCATTTATTGCTTAGGCTATTTGTGGTGGATGGAGTTTGCATAATTAATTGAAAATTTTGAAAATTGCTTAAACAAGTTTCTGAAAAGGATCAAAGCTAATATTTGACGGGCACAATTCTTGCTTAAAGGAGTAGATTTTCACTCCAATTCTTTTAACAACCAAAGCATCTTTCAGGAACTGTTTGAAAACCTTTTACAATAAAACACGGTACAAATATGTATTTAAAACAAGTTTTTTCCAACTTTTTCGAAATTTATTATAATGGTAAATTCATTTAAAGCAACGCTGCATTAGCTTTCAAAACTTGTGAAACATTTTCACTAATTGATGTAACATTACCATTAAGATATCGTCAACGACAAAATGTCTGATCCAATTATTAGTGTAATTAATAGTGAAAATCAAAACTGAATTACACTGGCAGTTAATGGATGACACGATCACATAATATTAAAATATCCAATCTATAAGTTTAAATAAAAAACAGAAAGTTTCGACTCCAAGAAAACAACTTTACGAGTGATATTTTTGAAGCATCTTTGAAATACAAAGGAAAAACATCAATAGCTAGAAAAAAGAAAAAAAAAAGAATCGAAAACAGTTAAAGAATAACTTATATCTCGAGCACAATTAAATAAAATGAAATCAACCGAAAAAAAGCAGCCAAAAAAAAATTAATAAAAAAATCCGGCCAAAAAGTTATATATAAGTGACCACTAAGCCCAAACCTTTTGCCGTAATTAAAAATCCACAGGTCGCAATATTGGAAAATAAATGGTGAGAACCAAACATTAGAACCTAGAAGTAAAAAAATATCACAAAGAAATCTAGCAAAATTGAAAGCTCTCCGACACTTAATTACTTGTTTAGCAATTTAGCAATTATTTGGTTGCTATTAAATTACTCATAAACTAAATATAATTAGTTAATATCATGATAAACTTAATCATCTAAGCTTTACATGGGATACAAAAAGTTCACCTTTTGCCTTACTTAATAAATCAAACATTGATCACCGAAAATTTAATTTCCGGACGAAAATCCAAACCTTGGTTCAATCAGGTTGTTATTCTTAAACTAAATTTTTTTAACTAAATTTTCAAGTTGTTATTCTTAAACTAAAATTTTTTCATATCTTTAAGTAGACATTACTAAAACTAAAGCTTATTGATATCTTTCAATTATTTTTGTTATGTTTTAAGGACTGCTTTGCATTTTTATATCATGTTAATATTTAAAACTAGATTGTGCACTGTAAAAAAACTTGTGTTGAAAAACAACAAGTGATCTTGTGTTGAAAAGCTTGATCTTGTGTTGCTATTATTTAACACAAGATCTTGAATTTTATAATTATCATTTTATAACATATGTGCTAATTATATACGTTACTAAATAATTTTTTTTTTCGTTACTCTTTTCTTAGCAAAATAAAATTTTGTCAATGGGTCTTTGAAAAACGCATTTATAAAACGATATAGAGATTAGAGAACTTTATGATTTTGAATTGAAATTCTTTATTTTTTTTTTTATAATTTAGCCGTACAAATATTTACAAGTTCCGTAATTTAAAATATTTAAAAATGGCAAGGACGAGAAGAAGACGGGGTTGTCTTATCACCAAGTCCCTTGTTTGTCTAGACATTTATATAAATACATGGTAACTAAAATGAAAATTAAAAAATTAAGAAAAAAGCAAAATATTACAAAGAAGTTTATATAAAATGCCAAATAGTTTAATAGTTCAAAGTTTTGAAAGATATT